CGCAGTCACTTACTCAAGTTTGGGTTTTAGTCTTTCTTAAGCCTTTGTACATGAAGGTAAAAGTACCATGCGTATGCCCAGCCAGTTTCTGTAGCAGAGGACAATCTTGTGCCAAAGAGGAACAAAGGTCTGATTCTAAGCCGTGCAGGTGCACATCTCAAATACTGAGCGAGACGTTTTCCTTGGTTTTGGTCAGTGTAACTTTGTGAAGCAGATGTGCTCAGCTCTGCGGGCACTCAGGTCAATTATGCTTCTCTTGGGATTTTTAATCTGCTACACTCGAAAATTGGGAGGGAGAGTGACAAGATTCTAGGCATCAGTTCTTTGGTGGCCACCACTTTGACCGCCATTTCTAAAGCAGCATTGTATGAAGTGTAGTGCTAAAATTTGTTTCTCAGGCTGCGGTTGCTTTACATGAAGGTTTAGGAGAGAACTGCCAACAAAGGTACCCCACTGGGCAGCTGGTAAATGGCTCTTGGTGGCAGAGGAGTTAAGTGTTGCAATTATTACTATTATTATTATTTTTTATGTGAAAATGAAGAAGACAATGCCATGATGGCAGAGTTGGGATAATTAATGTTTTTTCAGTATGGCAGCCTCTAATTAGGAAGGAGGAAAGGATTAACCCTGGAGTGTTTCCTTTGTTTCTGTCAAGAAGATGCTGCTGATGGTTGCTTCTGGTTGCGCAAAGCCTGCTGATAGTAGAAGCTGTGTTGTAGCCCTGTTAAGTTACTTTCTCTGAACCCCTGCTAAGACTCTGCCATGCAAGATCCACCTTGCACTGGCTGCACTCTGAGCAAGGCTTGTTGCGGTGGCAGTCCTGAAGCTGAGCAGCACAGTCCCAGCCTCTCCCCCAGCACCACTACTGGGTTGCCCTCTGCCTGTGCATCTCTTCTCCTGGTCCCTGTCACAGTCTCCTTTGTTTGTCTGGCATTTGCTTTTCAGCTCCTGAAAAAAACAACCCATCTTTTTGGCTCTCTTAGTGTCTTTGTCCTTGTGCCGGCTGCCTTGGATCCATCCCCTCACCACACCACACGTCTTAGCTGATCTCTCGCATCGTGTCAGCATCTGGATGGCAGTGATGAGTATGAAGCTGGAGACAGTTTCATCCTTTCCCTTCCTGTCAGCAGCTTGTATGTGCTTTTCCTTTCAATTGTCCTTCCTAGGAATCCATGACCATTGTGCTGATAGCTGTAGAAATCTTTTTTTTTTTTTTTCCCCTTCCCCCTCTCTATTAACTTCTCTCATTTCATTTGTGTTGGGGTAAGAGAAGGGCCCCCTTTACAGAGTCACAGAATAGGTGAGGTTGGGAAGCAGGTCTGGAGACTGCTTGTCTAATCCAAGTCCCTGCTCAGAACAGCCCGGGAGGCTCTTGGCCTGTTTTGCTGCAAGGGCACTTTGCTGGCTCAGGTTCAGCTTGTCCACCAGCTCATTCTCTGCCCAGCTGGGTGCCCCAGCATGTCCCAGTGCTTGGGGCTGTTCCTCAGGGGCAGGACTTTGCATTTCCCTTTGAACTGCAAGAGGTTCTTGCAGCCCATTTCTCCAGCCTGTCCTGGTCCTGCGTGGCAGCACAGCCCTCTGGCGTATCAGCCGGTCCTCCCAGTCTGGTCACCTGCAAACTTTGTCCCCTTTCCATCCAACTGGATCGCCATTCTTTTGCTGCTTGGAAGATGCAGTTTTTAGTCCCTTGCCAGCTCACGTTTCTAGTCTTCCCTTCCAAGGGGGAGGCCAGAAGCAGGTTCACATTTACATGTACTTTCCCAGAATAACTTAAACTTTTCCCTCTTTTAATCTCTTCACAAGTCTCTCCCCCAGCCCTTCTATTCCTGTTCTGCTTGTGTTTCTGTGGGCTCTGTTCTTGGCACAACAGGCAGCCTGGAAATTTTTGTCAGTTAATTTCCTTTAATTCCATGGGCTGTTCCTTACTTGTCCTATACACTTTATTATCCTGAAGTCAGTCTTTTAAAAGTTTTTTATAAACACAGCAGTTGAGGCGGTAAGCAGTCTGGTGCTGAAGTTTCAGCAGTTGGTGTTTGGGTGGCCTTGAGCTGCCTCCCGAGGAGCAGGCAGGCGGCTGCTCGGCTCGGCGCCGCGGCAGAGCTGGCGTGGGGAGCTGCTGCCGGGCTGCGCAGGCGGCCTCTGCCTCTTCCCGGTGGAGACCGACTTCGGGCTGCAGCTTCTTGCAGGCTAGGCTTTAAGTGTGGTGATTGGCCTTGTGCAATGAAAAACAGTGAGCTGAGAAACTTGAAACTTTAAAAACAGCCAAGATGATGTCCAGGTCTAGAAACAAGAATGAGGATGTGTGATTGATTGCACTGTACCTTCACCTATTGTAGCTCTGGCTATTGCACGCCTGTCTTGTGTCTCAGGTGTATGGGGGATGCTGTGAGAAATCTTGTAGTTAAAAATAAAAGTGCTGGTACATGCGTGTAGGTAATGTCAATCAGTTTTATGTAATTCTAGCCTCACTTTTAGGGATTTTATTTTGCATTGAAACAATTTCTATTATTTTTTAATATGCAATTCTAATTCACATTGCAAAAGGACAAAAAATTCTCATTTACTGTAGTCAGCTGGGTTTTTCTGTGCCTTGGTGTATATTGCTGTGACATGGGACTAACCATGCTAGCTACTTGCAGCACAACCAGTGTTTCAAAAAGGAAGGAAAAGGACGTGGGGATTTTTGGGTATGACTGGGAGAAATTCAGCCTGTTGCAACCCTGATTTTTCATGAAGTGCTCTCAGCCTGTCTGCCATTCTCAGAAATCAACAGACTGCAAATCCTGGGCATGGTTTCAGTGTGTGGGACCCAGAGAGCTTTTCTTCGTCGCCTGGCCCAGCTGCTTTGCCAGCTCCCGGCCATTCCCTGTAGGGGCAGAGGCCGCTGCTGCACAGAAGGTGATACAAGGCCAATTTATAATGCTCCCGATCAGTTGTCACTTCCTTGTGTCAGCAACATTTTCCCCATTAAAACCAAGAATTGTAGCATACTGTGATAACTTGTATCTCTTGAGGTTTGGTGTTGGTCAGATGTGGAAGCCTGCTTTTGGTAATGCACTGCCTGGCTTGTTTGGTTTAAAGAAGGTACTGGGGTATTAAATGTTGGGAAGGGTTAAGACAGCTGAAATGTGGGACTCTGCTCACTTCCTCTGGTGCCTTCTTGGCAGCGCCTGGGTTTGTGTCTCTGGCAGCTTGGTCTCTCACAGCAGTGTGGTGATCAGTAGCCACTGGTGTATATCAGGCATGTTTTCTCTTGGTTCCAGAATTTTAATAAGTATTTCATGCCTTGAGTTTCCTGCTGCAGTCTTACCGCAGGTGCCTGGGCTGGCTTTCCCCAGCACTCATGTGGCTGAAGAGGAGAGGAGAGGAGAGGAGGCCCTTCTGAACTCCGCTGTGCAAAGCTGAGCTGCGACTCCTCGTAAAAGGAGGTCTCTCCCACCCGTTGCTGCTGGTTGTCCGGGTATCTCCCACCCCAGGCTACGTGCAGCAAGTGCGGCGGGTTCCCTGGCTGAGATGGGCGCTGGGCCAGCGAGGGGCTGCCTTGGCGAACGCAGCCATCGCCCGGTGCTCGGTGTGGGCCCGGGTGCCTGCCCAGCAGCCTGGTGTGGGTGCGTGCCGGCGCAGGCCGGGCTGCGGGCGCGGGTGCCGGGTGAGCTGGTCTCCCCGCTGCTCCCCACCCTGCCCTGGGGAGGCCCCGGCAGCCAGGGCGGCACGGAGGGTGAGACAGCAGGGCCGTGCTGGGAAACAAACCCTCTGCAGGCGGGCAGGGAGGAACCGGCGGCTCGGTGCTGCTGAAAATGCACTGCTCTTTTTCTCACACGCCCCTAACGCAAACAGATGCTTTCTGTCTCTAAAATCCCTTCACACCCTTCAGCTTCTCTCTCTCTCGCGCGCGAGAGCTGGTCCTTGTTGTTCCCCACCGTGGGGTTGTCCCCGGCTGGAGGTCCTCCCGCGGAGGTGGCAGCCAGCAGCATGGGGGCCCTGCAGGGCTCCTGCCTGGTGAAGGGGAGTGAGCGTGGGGCCACGGGGAAATGCCGGACGGCTCCCAGCCAGAGAACGGCCGGCAGCTTCCATGCGAGCAGGGCCTGCGCTTCTGGAAGGGAGTTAGTGACCTCGGCCGAGTGTTTCCTGGTTTCTCTTTTAACAGGGAGATTGCAAAATCTTCTTTAAAAGGATGGACAAAAGTATGAAGCCCTATCAGAACAAGACCAAGCGTATGCGATGAGAAGACAAATGGATGTCTGCAGTCCCCGTAGAGCACAAACACTAAGCCATTTTTTAAAATATAAAACAAACTTTTTTAAACCTTCAATTGCACTGCTGTTTTCAGTTGTTCATAGCTAAGAATAATCGCTTCAATCTAAAATACTTGTTAAATGACATAGGTTTTTAAAAGTACCCCATATATTTCCCTAACTTTGAGACTAATCAGACACGTAGTTTGAGTTGCTAGTTCAGAGCTATGTGGTTTTTCCAGTGATCTGGACAAGTTTTAACATGATCGGAGTGAAGTATGAAGGAAGAGAAACCTTTATTCTGTATAATGTAATTAAGAGAATTCACGTATGCTTTCCTTTACTGAAAGAGGCAAAAAGGATAGAATACAAGCATTTCACATCAAATTCAGATGTTATATTTACTGAATCTTACTTGATATGACTTCAAGCCCTGTCAAGACATAAATTATTAAATCTGTGAACCTTCCTGCACTTTCAAAAGTATGTTAGAAAGAATAACTAGGAGAAATATATAAATTTTTGCCATTAGGAAAAAGATAACAAGTGACGTTTGCCATTGAATGAATAAAAGATTAGTTAAGTCTCACTATTTAAGACCTTTTCACATTTTTAATGGATCCGATACTCCGCTTATGGTTCCATGTCCTGTTTTCAGCAACTGCATCTTAATTCCCACTTTCTTTTCAGTTAAGGGTGGTTAAGAGCAAGAAGATTTAGAGAACAACTTATCAAATGCTTTTCAGACCATCAAAAATCACTTACCTGCCACCATTGTCGCCTTCCATTTGCCTCTTAGCTGCATCTCGAAAGTGCCTTAGACTCCTCCAGAGTGCATCTTGAAACTCAAATAGTCATGAGAGTATTTCTCGCGATAAGGTACTTAAATAAACCATATCTGGAAGTAAGCTTCTTTGCTTCCAATCGCTTTTTTTTGCGGTACCTGATCAGAGAGGCAAAATTCCCCTGGCCAGGAGCAACTGGAGCAACTGGCTCTCTCATTCCCGGGAATGACTCACATGCCAGGGTAGGCGAGCGCGCTCCCCGCTCACTTCCTGGCTCCAGAGCAGCTCGAGCGCCCAGGACGCAGACGGTGATTCACCTGAGAGGTGGGTTAGAGCCTGCTCAAGGCAGCCGCCGTCCTGCAGGGAGACGTTGCGAGCAGCCTGAAATCATGTTGTACTGCAACCTGTGCAGCCCTGCCTGTGCCTTTCAGTCAGTGCTGTTTTGTCTGCAGGGTGAATGCGAATTTAATGCGATGTGTGTGATGTGATGTGTGTAAACTGAAAACTCTTGTGCTGGGTAGATGCAAATATCTGCTAATGAAGATTATCATGTCAATTATTAATTTGACTATATTTAGACATCTTTAATGTACTTTGAGCAGATTCTCTCTTCTAAATAGCGTGTAGGATGAAAGCAAAATGTTAAGTCTGTAACTAAATATTCCAGCTAAAATGACTAGACTGTCTGTTCACTTCGTCCTTTTTGCTGTCATGGTGCTCTTTGAGATTCTGACTGCGGGCCCGCTGCCTCCTGCAGTCCTACTGCCACTGGTCCTGGGTGTACGCACGTTTAGAGGAAGATAGCCTAGTGCCTTAAGAACATTGAAGTAACCCCAGAAGTAGTTACATCAGGACAAAATTGTGTGTGTGACTGTGTGTCAGTAGAGGATGAAGATGTTAACCCATTTCTTTAGCTTTCTTGAATAGAAAACAGTTATAAACGATACCCTCTCTCCATTAAATCGACAGGAATGAAAATAATCTTCCCACTATTAAAGCAGTGGCTGCCAAGTCACATTTACTGGACTTCTGTCTGTTCTGCCTGCATTTCTCCATACACTTTTTTTTTTTTTCCCTCAAAGCTCTGAGTAGTTGAATCCCCAGTGCTGCTCTTCTAACGCTGGAGAAGGTCTTCTGCACAGGTCCCTTTGACAGCTGCTTGGAGGCCTGGGAGGAGCTGGAGATGGAGCAGGAGCCAGACCTACCTGTTGCTGTCCCTGTGCTGGTGAACTGCTTCCTGACTGCGTGTCCAGGGGGAATCCTGTGATAACTTTCACGTTTCTGCTCTCTGCTCACTAGCAGGCAAACTGTAAAATTCCCTCTTGCCTCGGGACCTCTCCCTTCAATCAGATACAGTCCCTGATCTTAGGAGACTTCTGACATGGCTCATCTTTGAAGACCAGCTTTTGCAAGGCAAAACAGATAATGGAAATGAAGGCAGCAGGAACACGTGTTATGTTTATCATCTGTTTTTAGATTTATTACTAGAAGTTGCAAAACTGATCTCAGGAGATGGATGTTCTAACGTTAAGTGATAGTCGCTATTACAGGCACACGGCTTTTTCTGTAGTTAGGTAGAGGAGCCTTGCCTACATTTCTGCGTCTCTCAGACCTAGCACATGGCTAAGTAGAACAGTGTGTGCCTGCCACCATTTCACCTGCTTTAAACTCTGCCTTGTGTTCCGCAGCTTAGCAGCTCCATGCCTGTTTTTTGTTTTGTTTTGTTTTGTTTTTCCTCTCTCAACTGCTATTTGTTTCTTAGCTCTCCTGGGGATTTCTCAGATCTCTTCCTCAGTACTAACTGATGATGCTGGAGTCAGCTCTGATTAGACTCAGATTTGCATCTTACCCTGGCACCACTTTTTCACCGCTGTGGTCTCCTCTCCCTTTATCAGAGTCCAAAGGACCTATAAAGTAGCCTTGTTGCAGCTTAGACCTATTAGTGCCTCTGAGTTTAAGCTCTAACAAGGTGATTTCTCAGTCTTTTCCTTCAGGTATTACCAGTGGTGATTTTTAGTCTGTACCTTATGGGGCCTGGTTGTGCAAAGGATTGCGGCTGAGTAACGTCATGGTCTGTGGCTGCTGTTCCATGCACAGATTATCTTCAGGATATCTCAGGTCAGTTTCCACTTGGCACTGCAGGTAGTGCATCCTTTCAAAAAGCTGCTCGGAGAGCAGGCTTAGCATGTAAGCGGGTTGCTGTTGGCAGGGTCCTGGAGACAAGGCACTGAGTGAGGTTCATACTCACGGTCCTGGTCTGCCAAACTGTGTCTGGACAATTCCCCGGAAGGGAGAGCTGGGTGAAGCTGAGTCCTCGTGCTGGCTTCTCACAGTCTAGGACTTCACCAGCTTGCTCAGCTGTTAGCTGGTCTCAGGCACAATCCTGTATCCTCATTTCCACACCTGGAAAATTGGCTAGGATTGGGCTCTTCAAAGTTCCCATCTTTCAGAAACCTGGCTCTCAAGCTGTGTCTGACCACTCACCCAGATGCTGATGCGGACACCTACCTGTTGCAGGCCACATAGACCTTCAAGTTCCCTGAAGAGAAATGTTCTCAGTGTGACGTTTCTGAGGAATGTGGCAGATGTTGCAGGAGAAATCTGCCTCTTGCTTCCATTGGGATTTTTTGCCATAGGTGGTCCTACTTTGGGATGTTTGGACAACCCAAAATTCCAGGATCTGAAGTCTCTGCTCCTCTGAGGACCTCTTAGTTTGGACACTGAACAAAATGCCCATGATGGGTCTTGCAGTGTGTGTGCAGCCTGCCTGGCAGCCTGCGCTGCAGCTGCAGGGAGCGATATGCTCCCGTTGGTGAGATCTGTGCTCTTCTTCAGGTGTCTGTAACAGAGGGGTTGTCTCTGGGATCTTGAACAGTTCTGTGGAATATGTCATGGGGAAGAAGGGAAGAGAGTAGAAGAGAAAATAAAAAAGTTTAAAACAGTTTCTCACAGAGATCTGATAGTTTAATAGGTGGTACCCTGTATTTTTCTTTTTCAATATGATGCATTAACTTTCCTTTAAGATCTCTGTGTTTTGATATATCAGCGGAACTTAATGGACTAGAAAGCACTGTCATAGCATCCCGTAGCAGGCTTTTAACTCAGGTGTGCTTTTTGGCAGTCCTCAGACGAGAGCAGGTCTGGACTAGCCAGCACATAAAAAGGAAATGCTACAGAGCTTGTCGTAAAAGCAGCGCCACAGAAATGTGGAGCTGTGGTGTGAAGAAATGCTGAAAGCTAACCTGTAACTTTGCTATTGTTCACATTATTCAAAGGCTGGATGTCCCTTTTTGTATTCTGGTGATTACAGAGCAACTCTCAGATTACCTAAGAGTCAGAACAACTTTATTACAGCAATTACTGTGTCGCCTTATTGTAAAACTCCTTTACTATCACATTTGGCGGTGCAAGCTATGGGTTTATTTTTAAAGCAGATTAGCCACCTGGATAATGCATGAAACTAGCTTTTTTATTTGATAAATAAAAAGGGAGGAAGGGACCTAACTGAAGGATTCATTTTAATAAAGCTCATTTCTTCTTTCTTCATCCTCGAGCTCCTCATGTTCTGTTGATCGGAAGGTGCACGCCATGGCTGGCGGATCCTTTCTGTAGGTGTAAGGCAGTTCTAGAGCCCTCAGTCTTCACATGCACCCTGCTGGCCCTGTGTGATTCTGTGTAGTTGTATGGGTAACATCTTGGTTGCTTGGCTTGGCTTCCCAGTTCTTATTCACGATGCAAATTGTTTTTTTTGCATTTCTAATTAACCGAGGTAGTGCTGTGAGAGTCTTCTCAGTGCTCAGAGTCATATGAGCATCGTTGGAGAGGGTTGTACTGTGGTACTGCAGAGTCAGGGCACATACGAAGTGCAAAATTTGTCTTTAGGTGTTCAGGTGTTTATTGTCCCTCTGAGAAGAGGCGGTCTGATGCAAAACCTAAAAGGCTAAAAAGGTGGATATATTAGGCAAAGGTATAATATATTTTCTTAAAAGCAAGCAAAATAAGAAGTACAGTTGGCCTTTGTGGGCCCAAATAACATTGATTTCCTGCAAAACTTGACTGCCTGGTGCTCTGTAGTTCCCTTTTTGGTAAACCAACAACCTGTAGAAAAATTGAGAATAAGCATTGATAGTTTTCATGTGAAGCCAGGAGCATGGGAGCCTGGAGTAAAGTTCATTTGTCTGAACAAGTTTTAGGCCTGCTGCCAGCTTTCTAGTTTCTAGGTTGTGTGTTGTTTGTAGTCTGGAGCACAAACAAGCCAAGCAAACGAAAACTTGGAAGTGGAAAGGAAAAGCCTCATTGCAGCCTCATGATGACGATGGACTGTAGTAAGGATGTTCAATGTCACAGGAGTTTGCTCTGTCCTGTACAATAGCTGGACCTAGAAGCACAGGTGTCCCGGTAGCTCCAGGGGCACGAGTGTCGGTACCAATCTTTCCAAATTATGCTGGGAGAAAAATCAGATTTTGAAAAATGGTGACTACCACAGAATTTGCTGCTAGACTGTATGGAATCACACCCACTCCTCAGTGGCACGGGGGAACTCCGGAGAGCCCGGCCACGCAGCTTCCTGTGCCGTGCTGCTGGTACTCGCTGCGGTGGTCCAGGCTGCTGGCTTCCTCGTCTGACACAAGCCTCTTCCTGAAATCTCTCTCAGTTCGTGTAAGATTTAAAATATTGCTTTAGCCTTTTTTGAGCCTGAAAAAAGAAGAGACCTAAACTTTGAGATATTTTAACTGTTACCATTCTTACTTCTGTCTGGAGGCAGGGGTCTAAAAACTGTCGGAAAAGAAGTGCAAGATCCCAAATGTTAGAATTTAGGGGACTTTTCCTGAAAGCGATATCCCTGCAGTCAGCTGGCATTTCTCTGTGGCAGATTTTGGTAAATCTGTCTCCCCTTTACCTGAGATGCCGCTGCTGAGAAACAGATGATTAAGACTCCTCTGAAACCTTTGGCACACCCCGTGTTTAAGGAGCACCTCATCCCATTTTGGGTTACACCCACCCCTACATACAGGCTCTTGGTGCTTAACTGCGTGTGCTGCCAGGCTGGGTTTGTGCACAGCGTGAAATAGGCATATTGTGATCCAGGCAGTAGAAATGAGAAGGTTTGTGCTAGGTTTTGCCCTAGTGTACCCAAAGCTCAGGAACGCAGATTTCCTCGGGAGGTTGCCTGCTTGAATATCGCAGCTAATGTAAAAGCTGTCTTCCCCCATTGCTGAGCTTCAGCCACAACATTAATTGCCGTGTGTGTCAGCAGGCTTAGTGGAACATTTTCAGACTCCTCTGTACATTTCTTCATGCAGTTGCTACCGTAGTATTTTAATAACTAAGAATTTAATATATTTGCTTTAACTAAAGTAGCCAAATTAATCCTGTTAAACACTGCATGTGTGTGGGAGAGAAGACTTAATTCCTGAGTAGTATTTAATCCCGAGAGGAAGACACTGTTTGAGAGAACACTGATTTATGGAGAAGTTCAGAACCAGTTGGAAGCTGGCTGGGGTTTAGTTCAGTTTCCAGTTGTGAGAGGGTGTTGTACTTATGGAAAGTATGTAACGTGCCTAGTAGAGAAGATACAGAGTTGAAATTGCTAAATAACACATCTACCTGTGTGGCAGAGGCTGGGGAAACCTAAAGGCAGATGTAATTAATACACAGTAGTCTAAACACAGCTCTGAAAAAATCAGGCTGTATGGAGCAAGCTACGTGACTGCAACGGGCTTTTGTAAATATTTAAAGTTATAGAAATAACAAACAAGTAGTAATCAAAGCATCTGGCACACGTGAGAAAGACACAAAGCTAGCAAGAGAGCTCGAGAAGTGAAGTTTGTTGGTAAGGTCCGAGACTGATTCTCAGCCAGGTGCTGGGGACTCTCCCGTCTCTGTCCCACAGTGTCACCGAGCAGAAGGGCCACAGGAGGTGAGCGTCCAGGCACAGTGCAGTGGGGCAGGCGAGGTGAGGGCAGTTACAATAATCTGTAGGGATGATGGAAGAGAGCAAGTTGTGGTGCTTTCCCTGAGGCCCCTTCTGCAGTGCCACCTTGCCTGAGCAGCGCGTGAAGAGGTAGTCCCCGGGTGGTGGGTATGTCAGGGACAAGCAGAGATAGAAGGGGGTTGTTGGAGAAGCCAGAAAGCTGCTGGCTGAAGTCTAAGGGAGTTTTAACAGATGTCAAGTGTATTTTCTAGAATTGGAGTCAATAAATGGTTGGTGTCTCTTTCATGTCTTAAAACAGTGGAATAAATGTCAGGGCTCTGGGTTACAAGCAGTTTCTCTTCAGGCGTGGTAGATTTGGACTTCCCTGGTGGGCTGGCTGCTGGAGAGGTGGGTAGCACCACGAGCCAGCTGGAGCTGGTTGTTTGAGTGGGGAGGCAGCGCTGCTTGCTGCCTTTTCTTCTCCACTCATCAGCTCTGGGAAGGGAAAACAGGCGACCGAGGGGAGGCTCCTGGGCACTGCCTGCTGGTGGGCAGGGAGGTGGGGTGCGTGCTGCACGGCTCAGGGCTGCTCTTTGCAGGGAGTTTTGGGTCCTCTGCCGACCAGCCATGGCATATGCCTGGGGGCTGAGGTATTGCAGAACCATGTCCTCCCCAAACATCTCCTCGGAGGTGGAGAGGAAGGATGAGGAAACAGGGTTAGGTGGCAGGAAAGTAATTATGTGTATGAGAGGCGGGGAGGGATGGGAACGGAGCGTGTCCTCCTTCCCTCTGTCAGGTACAGCTCCTCCTCCCCGCCCTACAGCCGGCCAGCTGAGCTGGCACCCGGGGGGAAATTACAGACATACAAAATCAAGAGCTCTGTGTTTTATTCCCAAATAAAGCTAAATTGTCTTTAGAAGCATCTGTCAGTAAGATGTTTAAGTGTTAATAAGAAAGGGTTTTTGTTTGTTTGCTTAAAGCAGATAGCATTAGTCGGTATCTTGTTCTTAAGCGAAGGCATTCTAGTTCTTGTTAACTTCGCAGAGCCAGCATAGCAGTGCAAGACTACAAGCTGATCACTGTTAGTTTTATGCATCACCAATGCAGGTTTTTAATTTAATTTAATTTAATTTTATTTTATTCAGACTGGTGTGGTTACAGCTGTGAAGTCGCATTAGTGTCTGACTGAGGTGATACAGATCTCTGTGGTGCGAGTGCAGCAGAACCGTGGCTGGGCAGGCACAACCAAGACACACTTGGGCTTCCCCAGCTTTGCTTAGTGACGGTGATCCCAATGAGAGGGCAGAGCTTGGGGGAAGATCAGTGTTAGATCTGGGGTGGCAATGTGAGTGACAGCTTTTTGCCTATCAAAGCTAAGCGGTGAGCATAAATATGGAAATCCAGTGTCCCGCTTTTATTTAGTAGTAGCATTACAGTACCACCGCCCTTTAATTTTCTACAGCAGAAGTAAAACATTGTTTTTTAACTTCTCCACAATATACAAATATCCACAAATGAATATGAGCTACAGAATCAAGGTTCAGTTGCCGACGTTCGTGTGTCCAGTTCGGATTTGGCATTTGTATGAATTGTTTTCTGAAATGTGCCTACTCTCCTGCATAATATCTTCTCTACAAATGGTTTGCACAAGAACATGTATATCAAAGGGTCCATGCAGATGTTGGTGGCAGCCAGCCAAAGAGTGCTTTCTTTAGCGACAAAGAGCTGGTTCTGCAGATGGCATTCCATTCGGGTTGTCGTTTGACTCAGGGTGTAGGGAACCCTGCTGAAATGAAAGGGGGCAAAGCATAAGAAGAACACAGTAAAAATGATGAATACTTTCCCCTTGACCTTTTTTTCCCTTTTGTTTTCTTTCTTCTGTGTTTTCTTGTAAGACTCATATACCTTTTTGGCAATAATTACATAAAACAGAAACATAAGAATGAGAACAGTCCAGAAGATGAGCTGACAGATGTAATTGACGGCTTCATGCCATTTGAGCCCAAAGTAGCTCTTCAGCGAGGCACACTTCTTTACGGATTGCGGTGTTGCTTTCTTGTTTGATAAGATCATGTTTGGTAGAGAGAGAACAAGGAAGAAGGACCAGACCAGACCTGCGAGGATCTTTGCTGAGGTCACATGCTGCACCCAGAACTTCCCAAAGGGTCTCACGATCTTGAGAAACCTGTCAAAAGCAATGAGACCAAGGAGCACTATGCTAATATACATGGTGTCATAAAATATTACGGCTGAAAAGCGGCAGACAAAGGCTTTGAGTTGCCATGGTCCAAGGCCAGAGTCAGTCAGGATTTTCAGAGGAAGCATCAGTGTCATTATGAAATCAGATACTAAGGTGTTTTTCAGGTAGACAATGAAAGTTGATGTGCTTGGAATATAGAAGAAAGCCCAAAGAGCCAGGCTGTTCAGTACAAGTCCCAGGAGGAAGACGAGTGTGTAGAGTACCGGGAAGACCAGGTGGGTAACTCTGGTGTCTCGGTGGCATGGGGTGGAGAAGGGTGCTCCGCTGGAGTTGCTGATGGTACTCTCGTTCGCAAAGTCTTCCATTTTTCAGAATAGACTTGAGTGAAAAGGAGAGAGAAAACATACAGCGTAACAGTTTGTATTCAGGATGACATGTTCCTGGCAGTGATTAGCAAGTTTATACAATTTACACAAAAACTCTGGAACATGCATTAAACAGACTGGCTGATACTAAATCTAAACCTTGTCAAAGTTTAAGTGGTTTACAGACTAATGTCTAATGAAAAGTTGCAATGGTATATATTCATTACAGAGGCCTAAGATAACATAATAGCGAGGTATAACAGCACAATGCCTAGAGAACCATTTGTCGTTATGTGGGCACGTATTTTAACACTGAATACAAATTTTATAGTTGTGGCTGAAAACCAAGGTGCCTCTGGGAAGGTGAATTCTGGTATTTTGTACCAAGCATGTACCATTTTTCCTTTCTCAGCACATATTTAAATAATGTTTTTGAGAATAAGATGCACACCGCTGGTTATCAGCCTCCTATATCTGAAAGCCAGATGCCCAAGTGCCCCGTCATAACACATGAACGCTCCAATAGTGCAAGTACCTGAGCAAACTTGGCAGCAGCTGGTTTGAAGAGGGGTCTTTGGCTATCTCCACTTCATCTGCTGTTCCTCTGCTGACAGAAGCCTCAAGCAAAGTATTAAGAATGGGGAAATGTGTAGAATGAAGAAACTTTTTCTGCTGGTGGTGATGTGTTGTTTCCTTCCTCATTTCCACTTATCATCCAAGTTAGTTAATCACGTTTGCTGTTGCCTCTCTTTTCCTTTTGGTCTCTGTCAAAAAGTATATTACCTTCTTCTCTACTGACAAAGAAAAAAAATGACCATATCTGTGAAGGTGGGCACATTGTCTGGATTTTTGTTTGTGTGGATCAACTACACTGTGCCATTACTATTTGGGTCCTTTAGAGAAGTGAGAAGAATGAACAAAGAACGTTTCCTGACAGTTTCTCAGGATAATCTTCAAACGTAGCTTATGTGTGTGAATTCCCATGATTTGGACAGTGCTATTTGGCATTAAATCTATCACCAGAAAGTCTGCTCAAAGCTGCTGTTAAAGTGGGATGAAGCATTGAGGTTGCTTGGCTACAAAATCATGTACACTGACATTTTCAGAAATGGTACCCTCCCTCTGTAGCTTGAGTAAGTGGCTAGATAGACCACCGAAGGCAAGAAAAAATGCATTCAGTCTTTGTATTTTGTGGTTTACACTGAAATGAACAGTTAAGCTTTGAAATCTGTTGGACAATAATTAATATTTGAATTCCTGGTGAAGATTCAGTGAAGAGAAGAAGGAAAAAATAATCTTAAAATGTGAGGTGTATTTTCTTTGTGGAACTGTTAATCCCACACAGGAACCGGAGCGTTACTTCTGATCTTCAGCATGGCATTTCTGGTTCATTTCGATGCCAGTGTGGCTGGGTGACATGGCATGCCAAATACAGAGACTTTCTCTTTCTGGCAAAAGCTGCCTCTGCTTCATGATATCTTTTCATTTTTTATGTGTTTATTATGTATTTGTTATGCATTATGTTGGAATGCAATGCGTTTCTCTTTAAACAGAATGTTTTGTTTGAGTAATGTGATTTATCTTGCTTTTGTGTCAGCTGTTTCTGGCTTCCTGCTTGGTGTGGTGTGGGAACAGTCTCATGTTGAAGCCGTCCTTCTGTGAGCAGATCTGGATTGCTTTTTGAGGTTCTCAGTCTGTGGCTGTACTGATAACGTCCGTGTATTGGCATGTACATATTAACATAGCACACGCTGATGCTGATGTTAAAAGTCTGGCAGAGGGCACAGTGCCTTGAGGAGTCAGTCACCCTTTCCAACATCATCAGCTTGACATGCCCCTAGCTGCCTGACCTGACTTCTGCACATGCCTCAAAGACAACATAAAGCTGAGATGGACTGTTGCAATATCCTATTACCAACTGCCAAGTCAGCTTCTTCCACGTTTTCTTCTCTTACACCTTGACAATGCTGCCAGCTTCAGAGGCAGGTACTAAGTGCCTGCGTGCGGCATCGGTGACATCTGTGTGGTATGCAGGGAGCTGCAGTGTCTGTTTGAGCACACCATCTGATCAGGAGGAGCAGCTGGCAGATAATTAAATAATAAATCTCTGTGTGTGTGCAAAGAATGTGGAGAATGGGCGTTAGGTGGAAAAGGGGCATCCCGCAAGTCCCTTCCAGGCACCAGCTGGGAGCTGGGCAGTCTCCTGGGCCCAGGTGGTTGCCAAAAATGCACTCAGAAGTGACTGGCAATGCTGCTGGTTTCAGGGAAATAATAGTGCTTCTGCAGCGTGACCCAGCACTGATTGTAATCAGCATAAGCCATACACAAAAAATTTGTGAAATCCTTGATTTTGGCAGGCAGGTTATAAGAGATGCATCGGCTCCAAGGCTGAGTGCTGAAGTAATTGAACTGTGTTCTGATGTTTTAGGAAGTTGGATATCAGTCCTGAAAGCTCCCTGTGCCCTGCCAGGGACCAGATGACTACCGGAGAGGTGTAGGCAGGACATCGGCTCGGGGCAGGTCTGAGCTCTTGTTTGCTGCTGGAACGTCTTTTCTGGCTGGGAGCTGTTTTGCAGCTACGCTAAATGAAACATAGTTTGTTACATTTGCCTTGCGTATTTTTCATGTGTAATTACAATGACAATTGTTCCTGAGAATACCTTCCTCCTTTTTCCCACTTTTCCAAATGAAAAGGCATAAATGGTTACAATTCTTGTATAGTGCAAACAGGCTGCCCTTAATAATTAGTAAAAATTGTACCATTAGTTTTTCTTTCACTAAGATCTAAGTATTCTGTAGATTGAATCTTTGTGCATTTTCCAGTGCATTATACACTCTATAAAAGTGTACATTTTTTATTTTTCATATAATAAGGTGACGCATTTGAAGATTGAACACACATCAAGGTAAGCCTGGTGATGAAATAATTTCCTCTGACATAAAATAATTATTGGTCAATGGATTAAGAACTGCAAGCAAAATGTTACTGTTCCCAAAAATCTACACAGGTAGTTTACCTACATATGTCCTATATTTCTGTTTATCTCATGGTTGCATGCAAGGTAAGAACTTCGTGTATTTAAAAACTATGTTTGTTGTGGACTTTGTTTGCATCTGTTGGCTCCTGTGTTGTTATGGACTTTACTCTGGCCCAAATTAAGCTATTTCTGTAAAATCTCTGCATGTCATCTTCTGTTCTGTAGCATTTCATGACTGTTTTATTTTTTTCTTGCAGCTCCAACTATAAATTCTAACTTTTTCCTTAGAAATTCTGACAAGCATGGAGTCTGTGATCAGACGGTGCTCTTGTTTTATTCCAGCTTTCTAATTTTGCCATTTCTGCAACCAGTGATGTCGGTGCCAGTGTGTTTGTGCTTCATCTGTAGGGCAATTTGTAAAGGTGTTGGCAAAATTCGAGATAACCTTCAGCAGGATTTTACTGCTTTCTCCTTGTCTCCCAAATAAGCGTACGTGGCCAAGCAGGGACATGGTTAGTGTCCCTGCATGGTGCTAGAGTGGTGTCTCGTCTGTGTCGTCTGCTTCATTCTGCACTGCCATCTGTGCTCGGAGTTCTGGCGATTCTGTGTGTTTGCGTAGCGTGTCTAGCAAGGATTTTCTAAATGATTTGCAAAGGAAAAAGTAAATGAATGGATCTAGGCAAGCATTTAGTGATGTCAGCCACAGCGTGGTCTCTTTTAAGTAAAACAAAGTGTTCTGAGCAGAACATTCAAAAACGTCTCTTGTTTGGCTCAAAGTGTAAGGAATTCTAGTGAAGTGGAATGGCACAAAACAAATAAAAAACACTGCAATTATGATAAAAACCTTCAGATTTACATTTTTTTTAGATGCTTTTCCTGTGCATCTTGTCCTTTTGTAGGATTTGTACAGTTCCTTACTTATGAGCATGTAGCATACAACTATGACTGCTAAATTAACCCAGAAGATAAATTGGCAAATATAGTTTACGATTTCATGCCAGACTAAGCCAAAGTCAGATTTCAGGAGAGCACACTTTTTCACATTCACAGCTGTTTTTTCCTTGTTTGTTAGAATCATGTTGGGTAATGAAAGAGTAAACATTGCTATCCAGATTGCTGTGGACAGGATCTTGGCACCAAAAAGGCTTTTTGTGGTTGACGTTCTGAATGGTGAAGTGGCTTTTTGATAGCGATCGATGGTTATTAGCCCAAGAAACATAATGCTAATGTACATGGTGAAGTAAAATATGACCTGGGTGACCTGGCACACAAATCCTCTCAGCACCCACGGTACCAACTTTGCATCGCTAAGGATTTTAAATGGAAAAGTCAAGATCATGAGGATGTCAGAAATTACAGTGTTCTTGAGGAAGATGATGAAATTGGATTTACTGGATATTTTAAAGAAGATCCATGTTGCCAGGCCATTCATAGTGAGACCCACCAGGAAGAGAAGTGTGTAAAGCAAAGGAAAGATGACCTGACTGATTTTGTTATCGCTGCTGCAGTTGTTGCCGTTGCCAGCGTAGCTGAAGTTGTTTGTGGCTTTCACTTGCATTTTGTCTTTTCCACCTTCCTTGTGAAAACAAACAAAAGAAAAATAAACCAAGTGGGGCTTATATCTATTGTGAGACTTCAGCCTTTTTAGTCTATTTTTAATTTTTGCATTGGGTACAGTTCCAGTGGGGCTTTGACTGCTGCCAGGTGGGTTTTTATCTGACCAAGGATGTTGGGTTTGTGCAGGGGGAGAGCTGGCCAGGGGGCTGCAGGCAGGGGCTGGGCGGGTGGGACCCCCAGGAGGGCCCCCCCAGGCTGAGCTCCACCTGGCTGGGCCGGGCGGTGGGGCTGTGAGCGGGGAGGGTGCAGCAGCTCAGTGCAGCAGCAGTGAGGCCGTGGTGTGGGCCGGCAGGGCTGCCGTTTCACTGTCTGATACGTGGCTGTACAAACTACCTCCTTTTCTCACAAAGAAGGAGAAACATCCTTTTCCACATCCTTCTTAATGTGGAAGAGAGATGGCAGCTAAATTCCTTTTGACTGCAGATTTAACAGTGCCAGGCTGAAGTAAAAAGTAATCAAATGTCCCTTTTTAATTTTTTTTCTGCTTGGCTGACTGTCTTTGTTTCCCAGAGGCACTACTCCAGCCTGCTGTTGGTTACCCTTGAGGCTGCTCTCTCCCTTTCCCCCCATGCCCTTTGCCATTCAGTGGGAGCAGCCACTTGCAGGCTGCCGCCGTGCTCCCAACACTGGGCTGGGTCCAGGGGGTGTACGTGGCCCCCCGAGTCCCTGTGTGCTTCTCTCAGGGGGACAGAGGTGAGACATGAGTGGCTGCTCTTTGGTTGTGCATGCCAGCAGTTAGCTAGCAGCATCTCACTGCAGTGGTTACACATTTGCCAGCACGGTCTGTAAGAGGCATTTGTATTCTAAGTATTAATGTATAACCTCACTACTAGTTTATCCTGTCAGTTTTCTGAATCAGTTACTTTATCGAGTGTCATGTTGCAAATAGATCTCAAACTTTGCTGACTTGAACCACAGTGCCAAGCAGCGTGGGAGTGCTGGTGGCTCCCGGCCCCCGGCAGTGCTGCTGGCGCTGTCCCGCAGAGCTCAGCGCCCGGCCACTCACCGCAAATGCCCGCCCGTGCGCATCCCCCTAACTCGTAGCAGGGACTCAGTGGAAAACTTGCTCCTAATCTGAAAGCCTTGGTCCAATCGAGTTTGATCCAAACTGGGTGCCAGAAGGGGCCGGGCAGGGGTGTTGAATTGGTCAGTTTGGTATTACCAAAGGAGCGGCTTTCGGGTGTGTACCGATGCGATTGTAAAAATTGCTATCGTTCAGAACGATCTCTGTCTTTGTAAAATAAGGCGCCTGGAGGAGCTGCAGCTTTGTCAGCCAGTGCCTGAGCATCCCCAGCATTTTTCTCACAGCCCTGCAAAGTTTTACTTCTGTCTGTAAGACTTGGAGAGCAATTTCTAAATCTGCTTTGCTGTGAAGCACATGACAGATTTCGCTGCCGAGTGTCATCCTAACGAAATAAGTATTCACTAAACATGCAATATCAGGAAAAAAAACAAACCAACAAATAAACCATAAAACAGAGGCGATTACCGTAGTGGGCTGTTGAGAAGTGATGAAATCTCGTGTGTTTCCTGTGTTGGGAAGCTTACGTTGCTGGCAGAGGGTCGCCTGCGGTTCCTCTCGCTCCACGCTGTGGCAGCAGGCAGGAGTGTTCATGTGCAAGTCCCTGGGGGCCCGGAGAAGCTGGAGGAACAGCTTCACATCCCAGTTCTGCCACTTAGACCTTCCTCTGGCTTGAACTGGTTTCTCAGCCAGAGAGACAGCTGCAGATTCCAGGTGATGCTGTCAGTGCTTCTCCTTTTGTTTCCTCTAGAACTGAGAGCGAAATAGAATTTTATAGATAATTTGAGGTTTACTTCCTGCTTTTGACAGAGACACTATTTTTAAAAGAGGTCATGTATTTTGTAAGACTGCAACGTTATGAGTGTAGAGTGCACTTCCGCCTGCTATCTTTTTGCCTTGTGATTTGTGTGGTGCGTGCTGTTTAGTATGACTTTTGTACACAGCCTTATCTGTTTGAAAACTTTAAGCAATCTCATTTTTAAAGAGAAACAGTCATTGGAGAAGGTAATTATATTACTGCACGAAATATTTACACCTTATATGACTTGCAAATCAGTTCTCCAAGTTTTTAAGTTATTGTGCATCAACATTATGGAATATATTTTAGTAGAAGACTAAATATAGCCATTTAGAATTTAAGTAAAATATACGTATGTCTATTTCTTTTGGATGTACAGAACACAATTTTGTTGGGGTGCATCTTCTTTTTAATGGATTTGTATGTAGCAAGAGAAGTGATACAGTTTCTAGATATCTTTTATTTACTGACTTACTAGTGAATATCAATCCATGGGGCAGCTAAGGGTGATTACCCTTACGCATCTTCTGACTCTGTCTTTACAGATATTTATAGAATTCATAATATGAAGTTACATTTTTCCCTCTGTATTTTAACCCTTTTCAGTGATTTTCTCCATGTGAATAATCAGACGAGGTGCCAGTTGTGATGAAGAGTTTGTTATTGTGTATTGCAGTCTGGGCTATTGGGTTTCTGCAAGTGATAACAGAAAAAAAATAATAAAGAGGCTTCATTCCTTCTGGTCTTTTCAGGATGAATCTTCAAGTCATGAGTGTAACCAGCGCATGATTCTTCTTTATGGTGTTGGTAAGGAGCGTGACGAAGCAAGACATCAACTGAAGAAGATTACCAAAGACATCCTGAAAATTCTGAATAAGAAGAGCACTACTGAAACGGGTGGTAAATGCTTTAACAGTGCTGTACGGTAGCCTGTAGAGAAGATCACAGGAGCTGAGGTGCTCAGCAAGTTTGGAACTGTGCATGTTGATCATTACCTTGGCTTTCCTCCCCTTGACAATCACTGGGCGAGGTGCTGCATTCCCACAGCACGGAGTGCACCTGCTGAGCCGCGGCACTGGGACAGGAGAAGGCTGCTGTGGTTAGAAATCCCTGCGCTGTGGTTAGAAATCCCTATTTAGCATTGTAGCAGTTTGCCTGTCAACACTGCCATTGGGCTAAAGCCTGGAATATGAGATACTGGCCAGCCCTTACACACATATTCCTTACCTTCCTAGTAAAACAATGTGACTCTTTGTCAGTTATTATTGAACGGCGCCTTCTTGCACTGGAATAACCTTAAAGTAGCTTTTACATGGTTACCTGCTATGCTCTGTATTTACCCCCAGTATTTTTGGAAAACTGAGAGAAGAAGGGTTTTATGTAGTCATGAGTGAAGCTTTAAATTTTTTTAACTGTGTTATAAAGGAGTAATATTGCAGAGCTACTAGGGCTCCATTAGATATAAAATAACCAAAATATTTTTATCTGTTAAGTTGGGGATGAAGGGCAAAAAGCCAGAAAGAACAAACAAGAAGCATTTCCAACCCTTGAGACGGTGTTCACAAAACTACAGCAACTGTCGTATTTTGACCAACATCAGGTGACATCTCAGGTACTTCCCATGTATAAAATTGTAGCCTTTTATATTCTGCTGTAGAGACATCAAATAGGAAGCGAATCTAGGTTTTTAGAAATGTTTTGTATGTACCAAGAATTTTGAGTGCACTGCTTCTTTGAAGGCAAGAGAAAAAAATGTTGCACTGGTATTTTAGAATATCTGTTTCAGTAGGTATTTGGCAGTTTGTTTTGGTTTATTTGGACTTTTTTATTAATTTTAAGAAGCTTTGAGGGCTGTTATAGGTGTCATGATTTTTTAAGTGAAAAATTTGAAATCAGTTTTCCACTTCAGTTAATGTTATTGTTTAGGGATCACTGGTAAATTAGATACCTGTCAGTCAATCTCTCGTGTATGTAAAAGGTATGGTACTGCATCTGTGTGCATGTAGGATGGTGAGCTCTTTTCTGTGTGTTTGTGCAACAAACTGACTGTCTCTTTGAGAAACAGATGGATAGTACAGTTTGTTCTTTTCTTTTTAAATTTATAGTTAACATTTAGCATTAAAAAACTACATTAGTGGCTGACTTGAGAACGTAACTTATTTTAAATGACAAGCCCGTTTTTCCTGATTTGTATCAGGACTTGTGTGCAAATGTATCTGCATAGGTTTTCATTACTTCTGGTTTTAAAGTATTTTTCAATAACCTCAGGCTAGCCTAAGAAACAAAGTAAAAGAGGTTCATGTTTGATACTTAATTTATAACACATCACTAGATCTGGTGTTTTGAATGAATTTATTACATTTGTTTTGTTTGCAGGATATCGTTTGAGTAATTATTTCAATAAAACAGCACAACACAGTAGGATGAAAATAGACTTTCTCTCTCCTTTAAACAAAAATTGAATTTTCAAAAGATCCCACAGAGTAAAAAAGTAATTATTGTAGGTATTAATATCAATTTGACATTTAGCTATAAAGCAGTAGACCAGCATTTTTCTGCTTTGTCTATGTAGCAAATAAAAGTGTTACAACTGACTGGCATGATGGTAAAGATATACTCTGTACTTATGCATGATTTGTTAGTGCTTTTATCTGTAAAATGCTGTAATTTGCTATTACCAATTAACAAATTTAGTACTTTTGGAGCACTAGTGTATCTGAGAAGTTGTCAGTTATCATACAACTTTTCAACATTTATTTTCACAGATCTCCAGTAATGTTCTCGAACAAATAACTAGTTTTGCCTCAGGAACATCTTATCATCTTCCCTTGGCTCACCATATACAACTTATCTTTGATCTCATGGAACCAGCACTGAACATCAACGGACTGATAGACTTTGCAATACAGGTAAGAAGAGTTAATTTTATTAATAGGTACATCAGGACAAAGCTGTGATACATTTTTAAGTAAAACCAGGAAAAAAAAAAAGAAAAAAAAAAACACAAACCAATTATATTCTCCTGATCTGCTGTCACAAGACTTTCTCTCTTTCAGTTTCCTAACCTCTGAAAAAACTAACCAGATACTTCCCCTTCTGTCCTACTCGCTGACCATTACGGGCAGTGAACAGATCTACTTTATTTAAAATAATAAAAAAAAATAATAAATATATATATAGTTAATAAAAAACTGGATTATTTTAGCACAATGTATTTTAGTATGGGCTTTCCTGTTTCAGGCGCAAGCATCTTATTACACAGTAAAGCATGTAGGTGCCAGAAATATTGTGTTCTTCTGAAAATAGTCTGAGGGACATGTTCTGTACTTGTAACAGTTGATTTTGCTGCCTCATTCCTTTGTTCTTTAGTGAAAAAGATTTTGTTTTGGCTTGCCATGTAGTATTTCCTTAATTTATTTTTTTTAACTTGGAAGTTATTTTCAGCTGGTTGTTTTTGTGTATGTGTTTTTAGCTGCTGAACGAGCTGAGTGTTGTGGAGGCAGAGCTGCTGCTGAAGTCATCCAGCCTGGCAGGAAGCTACACAACAGGGCTGTGTGTTTGCATTGTTGCTGTCCTGCGCCGTTATCATGCCTGCCTCATTCTCAACTCGGAGCAAACTGCGCAAGTATTTGAAGGGTACGTGGCAGCTCCACTTTTCCAAAAAAGTATTTCTTCTGTTCTCTTCTAAACAAAAAACGTGTGTAGGTTCAGGTAGTGAGACCAAGCAGTGCATGGCACTGGAAGCTGCTGCAGCAGCGCTGGAAGGCTGCAAGCAAGCTCAGGTCTGTGCTTGCTCTAGTGCCGAGCAGACGGCTCAACTGCAGCCTGCTCCCTCCTGCTGGTATGACCTGTGCCCTTGGTAGCCTAGGAACAGGTGGGAGTTGTATATCTCAGTTTGTTACCCATTCACTTGATTCTTCCCTGGGCTCCCCTCCCTGGAGGGAGTTCTGTCCTCTCTGGAGCCCATGTAAACTCACAGGTGACACCAAACTTCAGATGACCCCATCAGTTTGTAGATGCAACGTTTGTAATCGTGTTACCCAGCTAATGGGGTTTATGCAACATGTAACAGGATGAGATGCATTTCTAAGCTGTGTTGGAATGAACTCAGAATGGTTTCTGTCTTTGCAGGTTGTGTGGGGTGGTCAAGCACGTCGTTAATCCCTCAGAATGTTCCTCCCCAGAAAGGTGTATTTTAGCTTACCTCTATGACCTGTATGTATCCTGTAGTCACCTGAGAAGCAAGTTTGGAGACCTCTTCAGGTGGGTGGAAACGCGATTTTTCTTATTACTGCCTGACCTGTAGGCTGATGCAGACTCCTGTTTTCAGTTAAGTTTGCTGTCAATGGAAAATACCCCATTGCCTTTGCTGCTTTACCTTTATGGATGAAATCCTATTGCGTGTGCCAAGTGCAGCAGCACAGCACATGGACCTGAGCCCGTGAAGTCCTTGCGTTTGTGCCAGTACCTGCCGTGGAGGAGCTATTGCTGGGGCCCTCCTCGCTGTGCTGTGGTTAGCAGTGCAGGGAGCACGTGTGGTGCAAGGGCAGTGGGGACCATTGGCACTGGGTCAGCTGCTGCGGCAGCTGTAACACAGCTTTGGACCCTCCCCCTGCCTTCACTTTCATAGGTTTTAATGGAGCTGATTTGTTTTCTGTAATACTGCAAGAGACTGACCAAAATTCTTCTAACATTGGATAGAAAATCAATGAAGTTTGTATGTGTGGATGCTGTTCCCAGCTATGGTGTAAGATCTAACACTTGAGACAAACACTCCTTAGACTATTTTGTGTGTGAAATTTATGTTCTTCTCTAATAGTATATTTCTATGTTTCCACCCCCACCACCAAATAAAGCAAATTAACATATAGGTATTGCTAGCCTTTGTTATTTCTTGGTCTTTTGTCATAATTTTAAATGCCAAAACATGACTTTTATGTATCTTTTCTCTGTTTACTGACTTCATCCTTCAAAAAGTTGTCAATTGTGTCACATTATTACTAAACATAGGGGGGAGGTAAGTTAGCTAAGTTTTTACATTTTCCTGTAACTAACTCTGCTTACCGCTGCTGCAGTTCGTTGTGTCATAACAAAAGAGGAGGGAGAGCAGTGTTACGAAGCACCATTATAGCTCACTGGGAAGGCCTGTGGTGTTCTGGGAAGTTACTGCGCAAAAGGAACGTGTGTGGGTTCCTTTGTCCAGCCACTCACCATGGCAGTAGATGTCATAGCAGCTTCTTATAAAAACGAGATTGTGTACAGAATGGTAATCAAACTAGAACTTTCTGACCCCACAGGGTATGTTCAATAGTATTTGTGCAAAATACTTTTTTTGGGCAACTCTCTCTTTTTTGGTCCTCAGTAGTGCCTGTTCTAAGGTGAAGCAAACAATATACAGCAATGTTCAGCCTTCCAATTCCAATCTGCTGTGGGACCCAGAGTTCATGCTAGATTTTATCGAGAATCCTTCAGCTCATAGCATTAACTACTCAATGCTGGGCAAGATCCTGAGTGATAACGCAGCCAACCGCTACAGCTTTGTCTGCAATGCACTAATGAATGTGTGTATGGGGCATCAAGATGCAGGAAGGTAAGGCAAACCCTTCTGGAATTGGAACTGTATGGATTTTTACATGGTACAGGTGAGGCTTCCTTTCGCCTGCTTGCTTTGTGTCTTTGTTGCAATCGTTTTCATTCATTACTCTTTGTGATTGCTGAAAGCTTATTTTGTCAGTTTCCCTTCACCTTCATTCATTAAATCAATCTGCATAGTTTAACAGAAGGGATTAACGAGTAGGAAGTACTCACAGTAGGACAAGCAGTAAGCTTCTTGTACCAGTAGGTGTGCTGCTTGAGGTAGGGTGGCCCAGCACAGTGTTTAACCGTTAGATGCCTGTAACTGAAGGAAGGTTCTGCACTAGGTTGCTTCCTTCTGATGCAATTGATGTTTAAATCATTAAATATTGTAATTTAATTTTTCATAGTGAAATTCATCTTTGCGTGTAATATGTAACGTGTCAAAATCTTTTGTATAAAGTATTAACTTTTATTAAATAGAAGCTACTAGAGTTATAACAACTGTCAGTTACATTTTAGGAGTAGTTTAGACCTCATGGTGCATGGTTCCATCAGCTCTCCAACAATTCAAGTTTAGGATGAGATCAGCACTTAGCAGGTTTTCCTGCTTTGTCGTGCTGTGGCTGTCTTCTGACACCAGCAGGTGCCGACTTTTGTCACCATACCGTGCAGCTTCTGTCTGAGCCTGTGTGTCGCTTCTTGGACCTTAAGGCTCTTAGATCTGTCTAGATGATCTCAAGATACTGACAAGAAGTATTGTGAAGAACTCATGCAGTAAAATTACTAACATCAGTGTTGAGGTTTCCACTGACAGAGTGTTTTCTGTCATAATTCATACATTCTTTTCTCAATTGCTTCCTTTTTCCTCTGTATATAGACAGTCTTCTTGTGCAAATGCAGCGTTATGGTGTTGAAACTTTTTGCCCTAGTTTCTTGTTCTGCAGTCCCTGATGCAGGTTGAAGTGGGCACCAATTTTGGATCTAGCATTTATCCCTGCCTCCAGGACCTTATTCCTCTTAAACAACGAAAATCACCAGAATTTGCTGTTCTGTTCCAATTAGGTTCCAATTTTTAGTAAGAAATTCTAATCCTGATAGTTAGGCCTAGGTGCAGCAGTAGCTGACCGTCTTTGTTAAGGTTACTGACAGATCACAAAACCTGAGGAAATGGGGATTTTTTTTCTTTTCCTGATTGGCTTCTGCCCAAAGCGTGTGCTGTTCCTGTACCCTTCTCCCTGTCCCCAGTCTGAAGCCATCTAGGAGATGGGGGGCACTTTGGAGAGCAGAGCAGCCAAGAAGCAGCGATTCTGTAGACCAGCAACATCCACATGTGGCTGAACGAGTTTCGCTGTGGAACAGGGAAAAAATAACTTGCACTGGGATGAGTCAGCTCTGCTCTGTTTTTTGCAGTGTTACCCAACTCTGAGTCACACACTGAATCACACGTTGCACAGTGTGCAGTTGGTCAAATGAGATCCATTCATGCCGTTTGATTTCGCGTCCCTCTCCTTCCCCCTAAGCAGCAGCGCTGGGCTGGCACAGTGCACGGCCCTGGGGGCTGTGGCCATGCACCACCGACACTGCTGCCCGGTGCCCCGTGAGCGAGGACAGAGCTGCTGCCTGCAGGGCCGTGCTGAGCACAGCCCCGCGTGCCCGGACAGGGAGGGAGGGTGTCCATCTGCCACGGGGGGCTGCGGGCGGCGGGGCTTTGGCTCTCCGTCCCTGTTTTTGGTCGGCTCAGCACGGGCAGGGGAGCGAGTACCAGGGCAAGGTGCACAGAGTTGGGCTCACAGAAAATAAAGGTCCCACGCTGCTGTGTGTGAGTGCCAGCTGAGTGTTGCTTGTAGGTGCGGCACTTGTCCACAGCCGAATCGCAGTAGGTTACATGTACTAGGAGTGTAATCACCTTTGGACATTACCCTCCCCTTAAGTAAGGAAACACCGGTTCTTCTGTCAAACATCGATTTCCTTTGACCTAAATATTAATTGTATTCAAAAGGTCTTGCTTCTGTATTTGTTTTTCTCTTCTCTCGTAGGATTAATGACATAGCAAACCTTTGTGCGGAGCTGACGGCATGCTGCACGGTGCTGAGCTCAGAGTGGCTAGGGGTTGTAAAAGCTCTTTGCTGCTCTTCAAATCATGTGTGGGGTTTCAATGATCTGCTCTGCAGCGTCGATGTAAGTCCACACTGTCTTCTAAAGTACCTGTTAAACTTACTTACCTCAGGTGCACTTAGAGGTATAGTAAGGTCTCCATTCAGTGCATAATGCTGGGCACAAAGTTGGTCCTATGGCCATCAGTTTTCAAGGCATTTCATGAGGTTCCTGACTGATTTTTATTCTTCCCTACATCTTCAGCATGAATGTAAAATTTGGGCAGCGCTTAGAGATTTCTCTTTGTCAGCATTTTTTTCTTACTTTATTATGGAATGTTACAGAATATTGGAGGTGCTCTTGGAAAGGAGCAGATGTTGGCATACTTTTCCTGAAGTGCTGATGGATGTGTAAATAACTGTTTTAAAGACCCTGTGTTTGGTGTTGGTTCTTAAATTGTAGAGTTTGTGGTACATTTTGCTGTTCTTCACTCACCTGATATAAGTTACCATAGCCTTGTTAAGTCAGCAGGATTATGGTGACTAACGTTATTTGATATCTGATCCAATATATTGATCTGCAGTTTAGGAACAGATTGCAGCTGTGTACATTGGGGACGTATTCTTGTCCTTAAGCGAAGGAATGAGTGTTGGTATTATCAATTTTTATAGAATGATAAAATGGTCCCAGGTTTTTATAGGACGAGTGAGTTTTATTTTGGAATTAATTTGTGCTACTTGAAATAGGTCTGTGTTAAAATTAAGTTCAAAGCTATCATTATTTGTCATTAAAAGTTTGGTAATGCACTAAAATGTGGAGGCAGATGCATATGTGTGTACATTTTGCTGTTTATTCTAGTAGTTAATTCTTTAATAATCATGGCAGCGAGATGTGCGCTGTCACGTGAAGCATAGCAGTGTTTTTCTTTCCAGGTGAGTGACCTGTCATTCCATGATTCCCTGGCCACTTTCATTGCTATATTGATTGCCCGGCAGTGCTTTTCTCTGGAGGATGTAGTTCAGCACGTTGCACTGCCTTCTCTTCTTGCAGCTGGTAAGAATGTATTAAGAGAAAAACTTAGAATGAAAAACTTAAGACTTTTTAGTGAGCTTCCAATGATTGAATAAGTAGTGAATCGCCACCTGTTGTACATTACAGCATGTATGTCCCTGCAGTTCGCAAAAGGAGTGCTGCCAGGTTAGATCAGAGAACCCACAGCTGACAAGTGCTGTCAGATTTGTTGACAATGCTCTGTCCTCTTCTGTTATGCAGTATCACCAAATGTCTGCCAGATCTACTTGGGTTGTGCTGTGAAACATTTTGGAAGCTCACCTGTTCTGTGTATCCTCTGTAGCCCACAGTGTGCATTTCTCTCTCATTTCCTTCTGGCATCAATTTTCTCTCTGGCACCATCTTTGCATCCACCCTGGAGTACAGCGGCTATTGTCCCCTTTGTTGGCCACATCCCATTTCTTTTCATTTTCTGCCTGGATTTGTTTTTCTTATTTCTTCATTGTCTGTCAAAAGGCAGTTTAGCCATCTATTCTCTTCTGTCATTAATTAGGTCCCTCGCTTAACAAAAATCATACTATTCTTTCCTGTGTTTTTTTTTGTTTGTTTGTTTGTTTGTTTGTTTTTTAATGACTGAAGGCCATAAATGCTGATTCCTGTTGATGAAATTATTGTATTTGCATTTAAAATGGGGCTGTGAATTAGAACCTTTCCAGGCCTGCCAGCGTGACTTGTGAGGTCCTGGGTAGATGCCCAATGTCCATGTCCCATATTCCATAGCCTGCGGGGATCCAGATGCTGAGCCTGGGGCCAGGATGACCTGTCGGCTTCTCCTACACCTCTTCAGGACACCCCAGGTCTGCCTCTTTCCACAGGAAACAGGTAAGCTGCCTGCTGCATGGTCCTTTCATTTCAGAGAGTGAATCTGGATGTTTTTGGGTGGCTTCAGATTTCATGTGTGAAAATATCCATGGTGCAATTAGAAATTACAGCCTGCTTAAAATCACAGATTTTTCTCTAGTTAAAAGGTGATGTATACTATTCTTATTTGTTGGAAAAATGTCCTGTGTGTCCATGCTGCATGTGGCTCATCCTGCAGTGATGTAGAAACTGATAGGAATACACATAATGCAGCTTGGTAGCCTTGTGTATAAACTGAAATTATATGTGATTTTAAGTAAGGCACAGTAGAACATCTAGTCCAACAGAAGAAACACGAGGAAAACCGTCCTCAAAATGGATAAGATACATTAATGTATCTTTCCTCTTGGATTTTTTTTTTAATAATTTTTTAAAATTTGAATATTCTGTGGTCTGACTTGGGTGGTTTTGCCACAGACCAAAAGAGGAAGGAACAGGGCAAGGAACAAGCACCTGACAGTTAAAACGAAATAACCATTAAAATAACGTGTGTTTTGACTCTTAAGCATTTCAGAAAACTTGATGACAGGACTATTTCTGTGGCAAAAATAAACTGAAATCGATTATTTTAAACTCTTAAGTGACGTCAAATTTTTCCATCTAAAAGCATTAGTAGCTTCTTTTTCAACATTCTTCATTCAACAGAAATGAATAAACCTCACTTAACAAATTTGAACAAAATAAGTAAAGGCTGTGATTACTGTCTGAATAACAGAAATACATTACATGGCTCCAGGCTTCCCTAGAAATAGAGATTAATTTAAATGGAAAGGGAGAGTCATGTTAGAACTCTAGCAGGTAGTACAGATCAAACACGATGTGACTACATTGCAGACTTCTATTGTGTGTGCCTCAGTTGACCATTTCAGAACGGTGGTAGATTTGTCTTTCCTTTCTCCCTCCCTATCTTTCAGTCTGCGTATCTTCTCCTTGAAGTCAGAAAAAGCATTCACTGATGGCTTTTGCAGTCTGCTTCTAAACTGTGGGATTAGGCTTAACCATGCAACAGGCATTTATATTAATTAATTTTGCCTCATTTGTTATGAAGACTAGGTAAAGGAAGTCATTTCCTACATCTGTGAAGTCAAAACCAAAATACACTTCAACATCTCATTGTGGCTAAATTTGCTGTTTATATAGAAACAGTGAAATGACTGGCTCCTTTTTCTATTTAAGTAATTATAACTTATTTTAATATTTGATATTAATACATCACAACAGTGTGGCATGGGTTAACCCTGGTGGGCAGCTGAACCCCACTCAACTGCTCACTCACTACACCCTAGGGGAGTAGAGAATTGGAAAGGCAGAAGTGAGAAAACTTGTGGGTTGAGATTAAGATGGTTTAATACATAAAACCGAAGTTGCACATGCAAGCAAAGTAAAGCAAGGAATTCATTCACTACTTCCCATTGGTAGGCAGATGTTCAGCCACTTCCAAGAAAGCAGGGCTGAACATGCATGATGTTTTTTTCGGAAGACAAATGCCATCACTGACATGCCCTCAGTGCCCTGGCTGTCCACCCCCCACCAACTTCTTGTGCGTTCTCAGCCTCCTCGCTGGTGGGACAGTGTGAGAAACAGAAGGGCCTTCGCTTTGTAAGGACTGCTCAGCAGCAACAAACCCATCACTGTTATCACCACTATTTTAATTTCAAATCCAAAACATAGCACCATGCAAGCTACTGCAAAGAAAACTAACTCTATGCCAGCCAAAACCAGAACACCATGTATCTCACTTGATTTTAATGACTTACCCTTTGGTCTTCAACTTCAGTTATGACATTCGATTCTTCATTCAGTTACCGTGTTTCTATAGCTGTTTTGGATGAAAAGGATTTTGTACAAAGGAAATTTCAGATGGTAAAGCATAACCATTTTCCAAAAGATTTGCTCTTCTTTCCATAGGGAAATTATTTCCTGGAATTCGTTCTTCTTGTGATCGTCACCTCTTGGCTGCTGCTCACAACAGTATAGAAGTGGGAGCTGTGTTTGCAGTCTTAAAAGCAATTTTGATGCTTGGTAAGATTATGCAGAGTCATGCGTAATGTTTTTGCTCTAGGGCTTGGGTTAAAGCTGTACAGTGATACTTCACATATACTGGGAAAGAAAAGCGCCGGTGACAGAAGAAAAATGTAGATGCTGTCTGTGCTTCTGTAGCATACGAGTAGTGTTTCCCCCACAGGTCAAGAGACAGCATTTTTCTCTGGTGAGTCAGGCCTAGCTGATGAGCCTGCAAGCAGATGTGGCTTTTTAACATTTTGACCTCCCCTGCCACCAAGTCCCAGTACACTTTAAATTCAGGCAAGTCACGCTCAAGAGGAAATAAGGTCTCAGATCACTTTTCCCACCTTTTTCTGTGCTTTCCACAAGTTGTGTCTGTCAGTCATTGAGAAACTTAAAAAAGAATCACTGCTAAGCAAAGCAACTCTCCATGAACAAGGAGTGTAATATTTATTCAAACAAATAACTATCTCAGAGTTTTGATTTGGCTTAAGTTCAGGTAAAGCTCTGGGGAACTGTGGTGATGTGTATTTTTGGAGCTAAGTAAATCCAATTAAACAAACAAGTTCTCCCAGATGTGCATATACCAACAGAGGTATACCTCCAGCTAGAGTACTAACATTATGTTCTCTGTTGGTCTGTGTCTCAGAACTCTCAAAAACCTCATAGTCCTTAACAACGTGACTATGCTGGGAAAGAAGTTAAGGAAATAGCTAGCAGAGATGGACTGATAGATTGAAAGTGAGCTTGAAATACGTTTATGGCCATTATCTATGTTCTCTTGCTCTTTAGAGTGCTGAGATCTGCTATTTTTCTTCACTAATACTGTGCAGTGTGAACACTTGCTGTTTCATCCCTACACAGGGACATGGTTTGAATAGGGTCTTGGTGCAGGGTGATAAGAAGGAAGATCTGGACACACAGCTTGTTTGTGTCTTCACTGCAACTCACATGGCAGTCAGTTTACACTGTCAGTCTCCTTATTTTAATATTTTGCTGGTAGTTGTCGATTTTAGGAAGAAATCCTAGCATAATGTACAACCAGAGGCCATGGTGTGGAAGTGGATGTTTAAAAGAGTAAGTATTTAATGTGGTGCTGAAACAAACCATTTCGCCTTGTCATGCCGTGTTAGTTGATGTTGATGGTAAACTGAGAGGTTTTCTAGGGGATAACTATCATATATGGTCAAACAGGTGTGATCCACAGGAGTTTGTGCTGACTTAACAATTTGGCTATATTAGCCTGCTTCACCTGCACGCTCCTGGAAGGCCTCACAGGCTCTAGGGTGTTATTACATGCAGTAGTTTGGGCTATTTTCTGCTATTTTCTCCACTTCTACATGCTGTAGTTGCATCTACTTTCTTGTCCATGGCTGCAAAGCCTTAAACATCTGTTTTAACATAGACTGTTACAGGTCTTATTTTTTGCATCATGTCCTAACTGCTTTTCCTTCCTCCATTGCTCACCCCTGCTTGTTTCAGGCAGATGTTGGCACAGAGCTGAGCTGATGCCTTGCAGGGAAGATCAGCTCTCCCATGTTTTCCAGGGCTCCCTCACCATGTGCTGCCCTTTTCCATTCCCATGAAGATCCATCCTTCTGGTGGAAAAGTTCATAGTAAGACAACTGAGGGTACCATCAGTCGAGACTTGTCTCTTGATCTATGGAGTGTTAATAAATCAAAGTAAGAGAGAAGACTTGGAAAAATCAGACATCTGAGAACAATGAGTAACCCAACACTTCCTTATCTGCCAAAGCAAGTCCGTGCATTCGAAGGTGCTCCACTTTCCTGTGGAGCACGGCGGTTTTAGTTGTGCTTGATCTGTATAAATGTTTTTCTGCTTCTGAAATATCCATCAAAAAGATACCATGCAAAATGAAGCGAGCAGACAATACTTTGGCCGTAGCGATTTTCAGATCACTAAAACTTATTGCTGCTTTTTTTTTTTTTTTTTTTTTTTAAAAGAAAAAGCTTTACTCCTGTTTTATTCCTCAGCTAGCCTGTGCCTGTGCAGATGTCCCTGTCTAGAGGCATGGGGCCTTGGGTAAAGTTCACTCTGTGCTTGTGTCCTTTGCTCTGCAGGTGATGCCGAGATCGGCAGCAGCAGTGTCAACCCCTTGAAGAGCGAGGACTTCACTATGAGAGGCTTATTAGAAGACCTCAATGAGGATGAAATGTGGGGTTCCTCTCACACACTGAAATCATGTGGAAAAGCTGTTTCCATAGAAACTGCTAGTTTAAGCGAGTATGCTAGATATGTGCTAAGAACTATTTGCCAGCAGGTAATTTGTAAAAACTACTCTTCTGTCTTCATTTAGCAAAACAATGGTATTTTATTTGAAAAGGATAATGTATTTTGGTATAAAATGAATGCTGAAATATTTAAATATTTGAGTTCTCTTTGGGTTTCCTGTTTTGGAGCAGAGATGTTTAATAGACTGAGTAGTATGTTAGTGGGGGAAATAATGGCATAAGTTGGTTGTTAGTGTCTCCCTATGCTCTATCAGGTCTGAGGTATTTTTCCTACCTGACCCTCAAGCACTTTGAGAAGACAATAGGACCACTCCATCAGCTGTCTGTTCAAAGTGCTTTTACAGTAGTCTTTCTTTTATTACAAAGTTGCTTTCAAATTATAGAAGTTCTTCAAAGCTTGGAAGGAATTAATTTTTGAAAACAGTTAACAGTCATACTTCCAGGTGGAAATCTGTCATCTGAATGACAGATGACGTTTCTAATCTCTGATAAACCGTATTTCCTTTTAAGTTTTGCATATAGATAATCACTTTTCTGCTTAGCTTAATGAAAGGTAATATTTGAACATTGAAACTATCTTCTGAATCTGTTATCTGGTTACTTACAGGAATGGGTTGGAGAACATTGCTTAAAAGAACCTGAGAGGCTATGCACAGACAAAGATCTTATTTTGGATCCTGTTCTTTCAAACAAACAAGCACAGAAACTTCTTCAACTTATCTGCTATCCTCATGGTATTAAAGAATGCACTGAGGGAGACAACCCTCAGAGGCAGCACATCAAACGCATACTTCAGGTAATGCAGCGGAGAAAACGAAGGTTCAAAACCCACCTGTGAGGTACTAACTCTTAACCTGTCATTCAGCAGCAGCACAAGGTGATGATGATTTGCAATTCCTGGTGCAATCAAGTGTTAGATTCTTCTTTAAACATTATATGTGCTCAGGATCTCTAGTCTTTGCTGTAAACATCTTACAGAATTCTGGTGCCTCTACTTCTGATTTCATAGTTTTGGAGGAAACAAGTGTGCTGCATGCTCATTGTTGCTGTTTATCATTGTCAGCCGTTAAGGAGCTGCTGAAAAGGGAGCTGCTGCTTTTGGGGATGTTTAGGTGGAGATGCATACTGTCTCAGTAGGGCTCTGTGACAGCAGTGGCTTGTAAGACACTCCTGCTCTGTGGAAAAGGCTCAAATGCAATCCACGTGGTCCTAAACTGATTGCTTCTTCAAATCCAAATACTATAGGAATAATTTCATTCCTCAATCTTACAAAAATGGATTTTCTGTGAAATCTCAACTGTGTCGAGTCAACAATAGCCAGACCAGGACAAAAATTGATTGGTGTTCTGCAAAACAATCACTTTAGCTGCTTGGTTTACTTTAATCATGTCTAGATGGCCTTGTACTAAATACAAACGTGTCTATTTGGATGACAGCACAATGGTTAAATATATTTATTAAAGAAAATACTAATTACATTTTCTGTATTTGTATTTAACTAAACTCATATTTTGCAGAGAGCAGGATTTTTATTCAGAAAAGTTGCACAGTTACTGAGTAATGGTGGACCATTAACGTAGTTTCTTGAGTGGGTCTGATATTCTGGAATGCCATTAGATTATTAAAAAGAGTAGTGATTGTGATGATCTGCTTATAAGAAGGCTTTTGCATATAATACATTCAATTATGAGATATTTCTTCCCCTCACACCTTTGAAGTGTTGACACCTGTATTTGTAATGTTGATTCTTTCACAGAATTTAGATCAGTGGACTCTCCGTCAGTCTTGGTTGGAGCTGCAACTAATGATCAAGCAGTGCATGAAGGAGTCTGTGAGTATTTGTTTTCAAACTTACTTTTTTGCATTAAATGTTTAGATAAGACTGTTAAATTTTAACGTAGTCCATGAGCAAACATACCATGAATGTGCTAGTTTGCTTATGTTTTACTGTAGGGTTCTGGGTCTGTGGCTGAAATGAACAGCTTGTTGGATAATATTGCAAAGGCGACAATAGAGGTGTTTCAGCAATCCGCTGATCTAAACAATAACTCTTCTAACTCTGGTATAGGCCTCTTCAATCCAAACTCTGTTGGAAATGCTGACACAAGTAATACAAGACAGAATGGTAAAAAGACATTCCTAAGGTATTTTCTGTAGCACCTTTTTAATTATTTTAGCCAACGTGATGCTTAATTGTGCATAGATTGCCTAGACATTTTGCACTTGAAGCAGGAATGTACAGAAATGAGTTACCTGAAGGTTACTTCTATTTACTTTTGTTTAACAATAAATGTAGTTGCTATTCTTGAATTTTTGGAAATCAGAAATTATGATTGTTCAGTCCACACTAGTTACTCCAGACGTGTTGTGCCAACTGCTTTATTAAAGCAGTTCAGTTTTTTAACAGCTAGTACTGGTTGCAAAACTACATGGATATTTTGGCTGAAATACGTTTGCTCTGTTTCTAGCTCTTCTGAGAGGCGAGGAGTATGGCTGGTGGCTCCCTTGATTGCAAAACTGCCTACCTCAGTTCAAGGTAGGGTCTTGAAAGCTGCAGGAGAAGAGCTGGAGAAAGGGCAACATTTGGGGTCATCTTCTAAGAAGGAAAGAGATAGACAGAAGCAAAAGAGGTATGACCTTGGGAGATCTCTGTTAACAGATCTAGAAGGTATTTTTGAAGGAGGGGTATACTGGACTGGGTTTTTGCTTCACAAGGCCTCATTGGCTCACTTCTTTGGAGCAGTAAGTTATCAAACCGAGACAGGTTTCAGGTTTCATTTAGTCTGAAAAATACCATTGGTTTCAGAAGACAAAATGTGAAAGCTTTGTAACACGTCTTCCAGTGGCTATTCTGCAGCTTGCTGATGGGTAATGTTGGAAATTAAAAAGGACAATCAGAGGGCTTGTTGTCTCTTCCCTTCTGTGGCGGTAGGCCACTTCCTTGCCAGTAAGATACCGTAACTGTCCTGAGATGTCACTTAATTCCTGTGGAGAGTAGTGGAGCTTGAAGTTCATCTCTAACTTTTCCAAAGGAATGAGAATTTTAATCATTTAATAGTTATTGATTTTTCATTTAGTAAATATTCTTGTACAGTGTTTATTATTTGTTTTTAGTTTGTTCCAGTTATGATGTAAATTACGTTAAACACTCTACACAACAAAGCCTCTTAGCTTCAAATACTGACCGTCTTTCTTCTTGGAAAGCTCTTCCAAAGTACACTTGTTAGAGAGAAAGCAAATCAGTTCTTAAAGGCTCAGGGTTTTTGACTGTTACATATGATACCACTATAAGTTTATTGTTCTTGTGTTATTAGTGAGCATTGTTATTCATCCTCCATGTTTTTCATGCTGTATATTTTCCCTGAACAAGGGACCAATAATTGGGCATTACCACTTTATAGTACTCTTGCATGTATTGATTTTTGACTCATGGTTGTCATTAAATTCTGTGGAACCTTTTAAATCTGCTCTTTTTCAGCCTCTTCCAACTAGCTTATTTTACCCATAGGGTTAAAAGATTTATTTTTTTTCTTTCCCTGACAATTGCTATATGCCTGTTACTCTGTGTCAGGTTGGACCCTAGTTCATTTGTGCTCTTTCTTTAAGAAGCTCCTCATGTAACAAATATATCAGTCTAGAGAGCTTTGCCGTGTTCAGTTTTTGAATTAAATCCTTGTCCTTCTACTTCATTTGTAGTACCTGCCTGTTCCACTGATAGACAAAAATGATATCTTGCTTTACTGATCTCTTTGCTAGGTATTTCTGGGTATTTCAGCACTCTTCTGCTATTCACTGGCTCTCATGCAATTTGCCAGGTTTTTTTGCATCAGTAAAAGGGAGTATGGAACCTCTCTCTGCTTTCTTTTTGTATGGGAGAGATCATGTCTAGAAAACCTAAAAGAAGAATCCCTTCAAACCACAAATAAAATGCTGTAGAAACTGTTAAGCCCTTCCTCCATGACAGGTCCCATGCACAGAAGTAAAAGCATTTACAAGGTTGTTATAATTGCAACAATAAATGACTTCACCAGTGGCTTTTTGAAACCTTTCAATTTCAATCAAAACCAAACTTTCCTACTCTGATCATGACAAAATCTTATACAGGGTATTTGTTGTATCTTTTTTTCAAATCCCACTTTCTGTAGCAAGGATAACTATTGTGATAATAGTTATCTTGCAAGTTGTAAATTTTTCTTATGGAAATGAACGAGTAAATGAACACATGTTCCTACCATGGGTGTTCCTCAAATATGAAAACAAAACAAACAAACAAACAAACAAACCTGTTTAACATGACTTCTGTAATTGCAGACTTTCTAATTTGCTTGTTTTACGGAACCTAGAGATTTTGCCATTCCTTAATACTAGTTGTCACATAAAATGCTGAAGTCAGGTTAACTGCCAAATGAAAATAACTGCTGAAATGAAAATTTACAATAAATGTGTGTGTGTATGCATGGATACGTCTCTATTGTGTTTAAGGATGCATGTAATTTTCTAGGAGCTTACATACCTAAAACTGTAAAAATCATTGCACGAAATGTTACTCAAATACCTTTGCTGACGTTTTTTACTTCTCTTCTACTTTACATGTTGTAGTTTCAGATTTGTCTCTGTTTCTTTCAGTTTGTCTAAATTTTATGTTCATAATGGATGCCCTTTACTATATGTATGTATGTATGTATTCTGAAAACCATTACAAAGTTTCCTAAAAACGTTTAAAGCTGCATCTCAGTTTACATACACTAAACCCGTGTAAAATTTTAAGTGGAATTTAGGTGGCTTACATTCTAATCAGTGCTTGTAGGGGAACCTCGGGATTCACTTCAGACCACTAACATGGATTAGAAACTTCAGCTGCCTGGTCTCCACTACAATTATCTCCCTGTTTAATGAAAGTAGTCTTCAAATAGCATGCTCTGCTTCTGAGTCAGGCCTTCAAGTGTCCATGTAATTCTTGGTCATTCAGTGCCTTGAGCTAGGTGGGTTCTCAGTAATGGCATGTATAACGTGTGCATTTATACTGGCTGGTGCTCTTCCTATTTACGTGCATGTTCTTTTAATTTGTCATGTGAGACTTTAATTTACTAAAACAGAAACAGACATAGATGCAGGCAATGCCACTTCCAGGGGGAAAAAATAGACAAAACAAGGAAGGTGGTGAAGATTTGGGGGGTATTAAAATAATGTTACTAATTGACTTCTGTGTTTGCTTCTCTTAAAGCATGTCTCTTTTGAGTCAGCAACCTTTCCTTTCTTTGGTACTTACTTGCCTTAAGGGACAGGATGAGCAACGGGAAGGGCTTCTAACATCACTGCAGAATCAAGTTAATCAGGTAAAACAAGCACATAACCATAAGCACCCTTCACTGGATGTTTGTGTCATCAGTTTTATGTTTATAGGACAGTTTCAAGCCAGGAAAATTATAGTGCATGGCCTACCAAAAGGAACAGTCCAAGGAAGAAAGAATGGGGAAGTGTTTTATCAGTTTATGAGAGTAATTTTTTTATTTTTATTTTTTAAATTGTTATGGAAAAATCTATTGAACTTGAGACTGGTTTCAGTTCTTTCCAGGAAACACAGTAACTGATGCTTGTTCTGAGAGGAAGAGTCTTCTCAGTCTCTAGCTTGGTCAGAAAAAAGTTTTTATAAGTTTGAAACTTAACATCTTTGGGAAAAGCTTTAATCTTCTCCAGCTAGTACAGTTAAGTTGTGAGTTTTTTTGTTTGTTTATTTGTTTTGCTCTTGCTTGTTTGTTTTAACATTGCTAGTCCCAGGCTGGTCTATTGCCCAGAGAAACTATCCCTACAACTTTTCCTTCACTTACGCTCATTCACAAGCTCTGATTCTGCTGTAGCCTCCTTGTTCCCATCTGGTTGATGCTGTAGCCTACATGAATATTGCTAGCTCCTAGACACAGTCCTCTAAGTGAACATACGCAGTACCCAGTGTAGTGGGAATACATGTGTGTTTCCTTTTTCTGTCTCTAGTTTCTCTAACTTACTGTGGCAGTGAAAATTGATACTTGTAGGGCTGGTATTTGCCCATACTGCTCTCACTGCAGGTCTAGGCTCAGACTTTGGTTCACATCCTAGTTAAATTCATTCCTTTGATCTTTTTTTCCCTGGTGTTACTGCCACTTGGATTCTTCTTTAGAGGTATGGTTTCTCCTCTGAAATGCAGCTGGTCCAGATTCCCTAAGGTTTTGGTCCTTTCTCATCCAGAGCACCCAACAGGATTCTGTTGGGAAGCTGCATCCAGGACAAGAGATCCATTTAGATACATATGGTGAGCAGTTAAATAGGATGTTTGAACTCTATTTTTAATAAATGCATAATGAAGATCCTTATTTTCTTTTTGCTACAATAGGAAGATCTAGTCACATAATTGATAGCAGAGTATTAACCCTGTATAAATTCAATTTTTACCTTCCTTGTTTTTTATTTAATATGCTCTAAGCTTTGAACAGGCATGACGATAAGAAAGGTTAATAATCTTTTATGGCTCCTCAGAGGTAATGGTCACAAATACTTAAACTTGAAGGGGAGAAAATTCCTCTACAGGGAGAAAACAACCTTACTCAAATGGTTTCTTTTAGATCCTTAGTAACTGGAGGGAAGAACGGTACCAGGATGATGTTAAAGCTAGACAAATGATGCATGAAGCCTTACAACTTCGTCTTAATTTGGTAAGGAAAACTTACATGCTTCTTCTGTTGGTATAAAGAGATGTAGCAGCTACTTGAAGTACATGGTAAGGTGCAAGAACTACTGTGTCTGGGCAGTGCAGGGGCCAGGGCTCCCAGGGGCAGCAAAGGCCATTAGTGCTCCCCGTGCCTCAGTGTGGCATCACTGGGGTTTCTCTGCTTTTCCCATCTCTCTTGTTTCAGCTCATGCTTCCTGGCCATAGTGTTTGGGCATTGTTCATATAAAATGAGTAGGAAGGACAGACTATGCCCAATTCACACCTTGTTTTTGTGCTGCTTTCATCCTTTTGGTGGCACTGGAATATCAGAAATTGTATCACCTTTATTTAGACGCTGAAGGTTATTGTCTACTGATGGGCTGGTTTATCCTCTTGTGACAAGCAAGGGATTTATGGAATTAGGCAATATAGCTGATCTTTTTGGAGGTCTCAGGAAATGTAATATTTGGCTGTTTAATTTACATGTGCAATTTCAGTTGGCACTACTTGAATATCAATTGATTTAAAAAGTTTCCATTGAGTCGTTCAATGTCCCACATCTCCTGAAACTTCTGTAGTAGATGTCAGGGTCACTGCAGCTCATTTAGCACAGTGATGTAGGTGTATAGAGACTTTGTAAGGCCAAGTGAGGGAGCTCCAAGGCAGGAGTAATACTGCAGCACTGTTCTTCTCCCACCTCCTTGGAAGCTGCTCAGGTGCAACCAGAGGGGGAAACCATATGCTGCCACTGGCTCAGGGCACGGGGACTTGAGCCAACGCTTGATATGGATAATAAGTGGTTTATTACTAAAGCAGTAAGATTTTATCCCTTTGTAAACAATAACCTACATATGTAGTCGAAGGAGTAATCTTAGACAAAGTCAACAAGGTGTAGGAGCTAAAAGCAGGTACTGAGATTTGAAACAGTCTGTGTTTCTTGAGCAGGGTACAATGTAGAAATAAGCTTTAAGCATTGGGAAGAATCGTGAAGTGAGACAACTACAGGCATAAAAAGTGAAGGATTTAGTGTGATTATAAACATGAAAAAAATATTTTTGGAAAGTTGTAAAATGGGGAACAGGCAAGATGATTCGAAGCAGATACTGCATGCAGGGATAATACACAAACCAGCAATGCTGACAGGAGCATCATGGTAGAGCAGGAGGACCCTGGGCTGCAGTGCACCAGCGAGGAAAGACCAGTGTTGGTTTGCGTTAGCTCCCTTAGGCCTCCTGTTGTGTAACAGGGAGATGCTTATTCCTCTACGGAGTTGGCACTGTCTGAAGGCTTGACCCGTGCTTGCATTAGCCAGAAGTGTTGGATCTTTGAAATGTGGGGTTTGGGCTCTATTCTGGCTGGTTTGGAAATCAGGCGCATAAGCTGAGCAGGTATCTTGTGTTGATGCAGGTTCATCCTTTGCAGGAACAGTTCTGATGAAATGGCTCCTTCTCAAAGAAAAGGCATGTTTTACAGTGTCATAAAATACTCGTAGGAATTGGGAAAAATTGTTTGTGGAGTCAAATACATCATGTAGCAGTTTTTATTTTCAGTCAATGCTATCTTGTTCTTTAGGTCCTTTTCTCTATGCAGTGGATTTTATTGTCTAATTTTTGTATGTGGGGGGAAGGCAATAACTAAAAGGTTTTACTTCAGTACCTTTTCAGTTCTAAGAATCTTTTCATACACTTCAAAATTTGTTGCGTCAAACATGAAAGTGAGGATAGGAAGCTGAAGGAGCAGTGCAGTACTATTTTGCTTTTCTGTAGTTCCTTCATAGGAGAAGCTTTTTTTCTGAAAGAATGGGGTAGGGAGAAAAAGTTGTTTAAGCTCAGTACATCAGAGTGGCAGTCAGCACGCAAGAACACATGGGACTGGATGGCAGTTTTATTCATAAGTAACACGTGATGAGGAAGCATGCATCTGTGAGATACATGCAGAGCTTTGCTATCTGCTGTGTTATTTTGCAGGTAGGTGGCATGTTTGATACTGTGCAGAGGAGTACCCAGTGGACCACTGACTGGGCACTTCTGCTCCTTCAGATAATCACTTCAGGAACTGTTGATATGCAGACCAACAAGTATGTCTGCGCTGTTAAAACAAGCTAATCAATGTCCTTCGTGCCTTTAAATCTAGATTGCATGGATGTTACTGTTATATTTTTCTTATTATTACCGTATTACTGCTTGAGTGCAACTTACATGCTCAATGCTGGTGTCAGCTGGGGAACATCTCTATCTTGGAAAGCACTGGAAACACTATTTACACAGCTCCTTAACAAGCATGTTTTCCTAGCAGTTTCCCAAACCGGAGCTGTAGTTCCTAATGACTATTAGCTCTTTGTGCTGTGTGTAGCTCTGAGCTGTGGTGTGTAAGATCTGTGTGTGTATCCTGACAGTTCACCTGCATGTATACACCGGGGCCGCTGCATGCGAGCTGAGTTGTGTGTGCATGCAGAAAGCACTGAAAAATTCGGCTTGTCTAAAGAGCTGTGTTTGTGCCTTTTGCTGTGAATATCTGTCCCTGGATCTCTTAGCAATGCGTAATTCCTCGGGTAACACTTGTAATTTTACTCTCAGTGAATTGTTCACAACTGTGCTTGACATGCTGGGCGTTCTCATCAACGGGACACTTGCCTCCGACTTGTCAAATGCTTCTCAAGGAGGGCCTGAGGAAAACAAAAGGGCTTATATGAATTTAGTGAAAAAGTTAAAAGTAAGTGTTACATCTCATCATTTTCAGCATTTCTTTTGAATCACATTTTCAACTTTTCATCTTGCCATTTCTAGTATCTGGGAAGGCCTCAGAAAAAGAGGAGAGAATGAAGTAGCACTAGTGGTAATAAGGAACGAAAGAAGGAAATTAAATAAAATAGGAATGTGAGGGTGGGGAAACAGTCTACTAAGATTTTCTTCTCATTACTTTACATTTAGGGACCCTGAAAGAGACTTAATTACTTTTATTCATGTTTGAGACACTAAATTTGTATTTAAATTGGATTATATGGTTTCTATATTCTGCTCAAACAAGAGATGAAATAATAACTTACATTCTTAAAAAACCAAACACAACAAGACCAGAAACTAACAACAAAAAACAAACCAAAAAAATAACCAGCTCTGCAAAACCATTTGTTTAAATTTAGTAAAAGTACAGGGAAATGATTCATTCAGAAACTGGACATTTTCTAATAGTGAAAGCAGTGCAATGTTTCTCTTCCTTTTTTTTTCCCCCTTTCTGTTTGATTGATTGTTTTATTTATTCTTTAGAAAGAGCTGGGAGACAAGCGGTCAGAAAGCATTGACAAGGTTCGCCAGCTGCTCCCTTTGCCAAAGCAGACATGTGATATTATTACTTGTGAGCCTATGGGATCCTTGATTGACACCAAGGGCAACAAAATTGCAGGATTTGACTCCATTGATAAGAAACAGGCAAGAGTAAATGTTTACTTTCATCTAATTTTTTTCATGATTTTTTGGTGATGGGAAATTCAAGCAAGCGGGTACAGCTTGTAGAGTGCATGCACACAGTATCAAAACCAGTATCGTATTTCTGCTGTAGTGCAGCTTTCTAATGCAGTCATTACCACAGCTTCAGCCTCAGCAGTGCAATGTGTTATACAAGTAGGCTCTCTGTGAGCAATGATGTGAAAGCTGAGTGATGCTGGGCTTGTAAGAGCAGCACTGTTAAAAAGAGTTGCAAACGACTGACTGTTCTTTTGTTACCAAATATATTTGTTTGAAATACATGTGCACTGTTTTTCTTGCATGATCCATGTGAAAGTTCTTGGACAGTGTGTGAAACCAGGACGGGGTTTATAGAGGGGCGCTCAGGGAGCTGGATGAGTCCGAGCAACCTGGTGTGAGTTGTATGATACAGCACCACCAGCCCTGCGTTCGCACTGACAATGGGTCTGTCCTCTTCCTAACAACTCACCAGTGCTTGCAAATAGCCTCAGAGCTTTTGATGTACATGCTTCTTCAATGGAAACAATTTTATGCCACCCATGCAAGTTCAGGAGTTTGGATAGCCTTTCACTTTTCAGTTTGTTTAAAGTTTGTCCATCAACATCTATACAAACTAGAAGTGAATGATGTTTGTTGCATGTCCTACCTCATTAATTCCACAGGGTACACGGCCAATTTGTAACTCCTAATGTAATGAGTGTTGACATAAGCTTGCTTGATTTTGCAATCCTAGGGTCTTGACTGATATCAGCCAAAAAGGAAGATTATGTTTGACTTGGAGCTGAACAGCAGCAGCTCTTACAAAAGGATTTGTTTTTCAAGCAGAATCCTACATCTGAGAGCTCATTTGACCTGGAAACCTTTTGATCTGTTACGTGCTGAGAGGAAGCTGGGGGGAGATCCTGCTTACAAAAGACAGGAAAGAAAAGGAAAATAAGAAGTGTGTTAGCTGGTTTGGAATTTTTGTCAATATAAAAGGATATGTATTTTTTAAGGTGAATTTATTTAGGAGAGAAGGGTGGAGCTTTTTATTCTTACCCCCCCTTACTTAAATATGTAAACTTCTAGCAATCTTCAGATTAACTAGATTAATTATTTGACTTTTCCTCTGAAATGCGTTAGATGGAAATTGAAATATTTAACATGGCTACAAGCAAATAGTACTATAGAAATGTAACTGCTTTAGCTAGTGGTAGCCTTGATGGAGGTTAAAATCCCACCATTACGCACTTGGTATATTTCGTGGAGGAGAAAAACTGTTACTGGATTTTCTGACTCAAATCATACAAAAGCAAGTAGTTTGCTCTAGTGTTCAACTTTCCTAACATGCTAACTTCATTTTTGTTTTGAAACAGGGCCTTCAGGTTTCAACAAAACAAAAAGTGTCCCCTTGGGACTTATTTGAAGGTCATAAAAATCCTGCCCCTCTCTCCTGGGCATGGTTTGGTACAGTTCGTGTCGATAGGAAAGTGATCAAATACGAAGAGCAGCAGCATCTCCTCCTGTATCACACACACCCCAAACCCAAGCCACGGAGCTACTACCTCGAGCCCTTGCCCCTTCCTCCAGAGGAGGAGGAGGAAGAGCCTACCACACCTGTCTCTCAGGAACCAGAAAGAAAGTCAGGAGAGCTCTCAGATCAGGGAAAACATGGCATGGATGATGAGAAGAAGACAAAAGGCAGGAAGAGAAAGTCAAAGTCAAGCTCAAGGACTGATGTAAGTGGTTGATGCCCTGTGCAAAACTTGAAATACCTTGCTGGAGCATCTGACGTTGCATAGTGCTCTCCCAGCTACCTTCAGAAATTTCTCCCCCACCTGGAGACCTGGTCCTAATAAAGGGAATGGATAGAGATGGTCAGCAGGAGGGTGTATTTCTATCAGAGAGAGCTTCCAGGAGAATCAGTGTAGAGAAGTGTACAGGGCTTAGGACTTTACGTGCGATATAAAATATGCTAGACTGGAACTTAACTCACTAATATTCAGGCAACAAACGTGCTTTCTCTTGTTTGGAGTACAATTACAGCACTTAGATTCTCTGTCAATTTCTAAAATATCTCCTGCTCAAATTATGTTTGAAAGCAAGCATGTTGGTTCAAACTGAGGTCCCATTCAAATAGAAACCAGTTTGAAAAAACCTCTTCCACACAGATAAACTGTTTCACTGTGCCGTTTGTTCTGGCTTCTGAGCTGCTTGCCAGCTGCTTGCTGGCTTTAATGTTGTTTTGAGGTGTGAGTTCCTCAGCTGAAGAATCACACAGAGCCCGGCACCACCTGAATAATAATGCACATTTACAATAGCAGCATTTTGCATGATTGCAGCCTTTCCACAGTGCTGCTGATATAGTTGTATGCCTTGTAGATGTTACAGTATTCTGACAGCATCCAGCTGGTTTGGCACCAGTGTTGTGTTTGAAACAGGTATAATTTTAATATAGTTTTCTGGCCTTTTTGATATTTCTGTTAAGTTCATCCCGTTGTTGATAAACTGATACAGCAAGCGGAGCTTTTGCTTTGCCTAATTATAGCCTGCAGAAAATACTTGCTAATAAGGTAAAAATGGATGGTGTCTCTAAGAAGTTTAGTGTTAATTACCTGTGGGCAGCCTGAGACTTAATCTGTTTTTTACATCATTGCAAACGACAATGGGAACTGTCTCTATCCTTTAATAATTTAGTAGGAAAATTGGCATTATTTATGAGTTAGTAAGGTATGAATGTCAGTTACATTCACTTTTACTGTGTATTTTAAGGAATATCCACAGAACAACTTATACAGAGTGCCTCCCAATTATTCACCTATTTCCTCTCAAATGATGCATCATCCTCAGTCTGCCTTGTGGGGTTACAACATCATGGGACAGCCACAGCAGCCTGGTTTCTTTGTGCAGAACCAACCCCTCCCACCAGGTATGTGTAAGCTTTGGGTTCACTCACTGGGCCTTTTTAATTTGATCTATGATAGAATTTGACTTACTACAACCAGATTTTGTACCTAACTTTCTCTGAAGCAGGTTGTGATGGCTGATGTCATTGGTTTTATTCCTTTAGTTAGACATTTTTAGAAGAACCTTCCATTAGCAGTTGTAGGTCTGTCTCTTAAGCTGTTAAACTCTCCTGGTAGATAAGCAAAAATGACCTGCTGGTGGTTTTTTTTATTATTATTATTATTTTGTGGTGGATTTTGTGGTGGATTTTTTGTGATGCTGATGAATTTTTCTTATAAAAAGCTGGTAGAAGTTCAATGAGGAGTTAAATGAGAGGGATGATTAAAAGGAACAAGTGACCTTCGGGTTATTTCTTCTGGAGTTATTTCTTCTTTGATTCATCAAGAACCATGGTGGGTAATTTAACATCTGCTAGATGGAATAAATAAATCTGTGGGCTAGCTTTTTTCAGCATTTGAGATGTGTTCAATTTTTTGTATGCTTGTTTTGTTTCTTTATGTGTATATAATTTAACATACATATTTTAGATGTTCTTGTGGGCAGCAGATTTTGAAATAGATGTTCTGTCCTTCTCGGATATTGTGCACAGAAGCTTGGAAGTTTGTTTCCAATCATAAATGTTAAATATTTTTTCTGAAGCTCCAAATATAACTAGATCTGCATTTAAGATACATAAAAGTCTTCAGAAAATACCAGAAAGTATCTACAAAATTAAGAAAATTATGATTTTTAAAAAACATGTATAAGATGTACCTTCCTAAGTCTGTTGACCTATATGTACTTGTTATTTCTCAAGTAGCACCGATGCATAAGTTACTGCCACCTCATGATAACATGATTTGACATAATGAGCTGTTCGTATCATGCTTTTGATGTGACATGCAAATTTTGTTTTTCAGTAGTAGTCAAACATCTTGGCTGATGTAGAACATGTAGGAGCCCATAGCCTTTTTACTTTTCATTCTCATTTACATGTGGTAGTCTTCAAAGCAATTTTGCCCTTTCAATTTTTCAGGCCAGTAATCTGGTTTAATCCAGTTCCCTGTCTGCCTTTACAGAGACGAGTTTATCATCATTACTGTAGGTCTAATCAAACAGGAGGTGATGAATTAGCAGTGAACTGTACTAACAACTTCCCTGCAGATGGCAGAGAAAACATTTGTGTTTTTGGTGGGTTTTAGGTGGTTCCAGACTGGATCCAACAAGCTCCTTTGTTCCAACTAATACGAAACAAGCCCTGTCGAACATGCTGCAGCGACGCTCTGGCACCATGATGCAGCCCCCCTCTATCCATGCAATCACACCTCAGCAGCAGTTGCTCCAGATGAAACTCCTGCAGCAAGAGCAGCAGCAGCAGCAGCAGCGGCTGCTCAGGCAGCAAGCACAGGCACGATCTCTCCAACAGGTTTGTCCAAACTCCAAAGGCTGAAGAGCAACACAGTGGTTTTTGCCTTGTGTTGGGGCTGCTTGCCCTGAACAGGCACATGGAGTGGAGAGCCAGCTGACATTTACACTCACAGTAACACCCTAAATATTGCTTAGGCAGGACCATCTGCTTTTAAACTTCATTTGCCCTTTGGCCTTTTAGCCCTTTCTATTTTTAACAGTGTTTCATGAAATCAGGTTTTGCTTCTGCTACTTGATGTTACTCTAGTTCCCTGTTGTTCCACCAGTGACTTTCATGACGGAATTAGCATGGTGCTATGTACCTCCAAACAAACCTCCTAAAAATTCCAGGAAGTCCAGCAGCAGCCAAATCCATACTCATGTGCACATGGATGTGCATGTTCTGTAGAAGCAGCTGGTACTCTCCTAACATTTTTACAGAGTACTGCTGCTGTGTGCCAAACCACACATGCCTGTTACGCAACTCCCTTCTGAGCCTAAGATAATTTTCAGAATATGGTTACAGCCAGGCTGATTTTGAATCGATGGCATAAGAACCAAGGAAAATATTTTTTTCTTTTGGATCCCAGATAAACAACATGCGTGTACAGTATTTGGCGGTACAACCAGTAACTGACTCACTTTTACTTTTAAAGACCTACTCTACCCATTCCTCCCCTCACTGCAGTCATCTGTATTGTATTATCCTTATGCTGAGTTCTTGCCTTCAAACTTTATGATGTATCCCGCTTGCTTAAAATAATCAAAATTTTTGGCAAGTATTCTCATAATTTTTCACATGCTGTGTCTGTTTCGTTAGAGCTCCCTCCTTGTCCTTATCATCCCTCCTTCTTGTTATGTCTCCCTGTTATGGGAGTCATAACAGACATAACAGACATAAGAGTCTCCCTGTTATGTTGTCTCCCTGTTATGATGCACATAAAGCCCTCTGCAGTGCTTAAATTGCTGATGGGCTAGAATAGTTTTACATGTAGATGGGCTGTTCATAACGATGAAACCAGGGTTTCCTGTATGTGTGTCTTATACTACCTTTCTTTAAAAGAAAAATCAAAATTAAAAAAAAGAAAAAAAGCCTCCACTAAAAAGCCTCCTCTACTACGTGTTTTGTAAAGTCAGTGGTACAGTGGATATTTGATCCCTCATTGGTGTCCAATAGGCACTAGAAGGCACTAGGGACCAGTTGCCCTAAATGTTAGGATAATGGCTTCTACAGTGAGCCATTGCTTCCTGTTCAGTAGGAACCTTGAATTACCTCTTACATTAGACTGTACCTCAATATTTGAGTGTTAGGTTGAAATGGTTTTCAATTATTATGAAAGAATGCAGGTTTCAATAAGAGCCTTTAGTAAACAAATGATGTTCACTACTTATGGCTAGGTGGATTTAAAAGTAATTATTGAAGATCTAGAACAACATAGTATTCTCACACTTAATAAATCTGTTTTTTAACATTGTTGTATTTAGAGGACAAAGGATGTTGGATTTGCCTTTTGGTTTCAAACAATACCCGTATCTGAAATGTTAAGAACAGTGCTTAGATTTTGTTCTGAAGTACTGCCTAGGCAGTTTGTCAGTAATGAGAAACAGCCTATCAGGAGGATGTGATTCGAGGCCTAAATAAGTTTAATAAGGTGTCTGTCATGAACTTTTTCATAAAATATGGTTCATATTCAATACTGTTATGAGGGCATGCCCAGTCTAACAGTTGCACTGAAGTTCAGCTGGGTAGGTCCAAATGCATGTCTCAGCTAACAAACGACATGTTGGGTGCTCTTCAATCTACTCTGCAGGTCTGTATCAGCCCTTTTTTTGTGTCAGCAGTAAGTCAGTGCAAATTAAGCTGAGGTAAACCAAGTCAAGCCAATCTTTTGTCTCCAAACTACCTCTACACAGTGGCATCCTTTGTAGCATCCTGGGGAATACCACAGACGGGCACGTCTTGCTGTATACTTCTAATTTTTTGCTTATAGATTGTTTGGGGAGATTAATTTGGGACATTATTTGGAAACTTGCACTGTGGTAAAATGAATGAGCAATTCACCAGGCCGTTCAGTTTGCTTTCCTTGTTTGAGTGTTTGCTGGCAATACTGATACCAGAGAAACCCCTCCAAGGTACTGGTGGCACTGGAACTTCTGCATGCTCTCTGAGCCTGCCCCAGCAGGACACCCGCCTGCACGCTTGGCTGGTGCCTTAGTTCAGCCAAGTGGCCTTTGGGAATTTGCGGTAGTTCTTTCTGTAGTCATGGATTTAGAGCAGGAAATGCTGTACAGGTAGAAGCCTGAAGGTAGTATTTGGAAATTCAGGAAGAAAATGACTTGTAAGTATTATTACTATGTGGTGTAGGTTGTTAGATTGAGCTTAAATGGGGAAGATTTCCTCTTTGGATTTTATGTCTCAGCAGCTGGAGAATGAAGTTACCTGTGCAGCTTGAAATTATTAGGACTGGTGTTTCATGAAACCTCCAAAGAGTTCTGTGAAACTAGTCCACAAGGACTCTGACCTTCAGTGCTGTATCATTCATGCTGTGCTCTTGAAAACAAATAATTATGGTTTGTCCAAAATGTCGAATACTATATATAGAATAAATAGGCTCCAGTGGGTGGCAGTTTCCTTTCCATGTTTTGAGTTTCTGTTCATAAATCTTATAAAAGTGTGGAGATTCATTAGCATCATGAGACACTTGAAAGGGTTCTGTCAGTGTTTCAGAACACCAGCATTCTTTCAGTACATTCAGGTGAGCGCTGTAAAGGTGCTGTTCTACTGTACTAACAAGCTGAGCCTAATAATATATATTCTCTGTATTGTTTGCTATTTTCTCGCCTGTCCTTTTCCTTTAGGATGTCTGTAGCTCTGCTGTATCCCTTCAGGATGGCTTTGACAACGTAATGGTAACCAATCTGAGATCATGAACTTTTCTTCTTTTTATTTTCTCTTTTGCACAAACATGCATTTCTTTCAACACACAGGCTGCACACTTTGCTTTTGATGAGAATGATACGCTTTGGGTACCCCTGTGGCTAGGTAGTGCAGTGGCTGCATGCGGGAAGGCTGTGATATACTTGCACACAGAATATTTTGTTCTTACAAATATTCCCAATAACTGCATCATTGATTTTTTTTTCTCTTCAGAAAATGTTGTGTTTCTCTCTGTGAAAGATTAGAGTAGCTGCAAGATAGCCTGATGCCATGTCCATCCAAGCATGACCTGCGCCTTCCCATTTTGCCCCCGTCTCCTTGCTGGTGCCTGGGTCTGCTCCACTCTGCCACCTTCCACCGTGGTGGTGTTCGCCGCGCCGTGCAGTGCAGTAGCGGTGGCTGCTGAGGCAGCCCTGTGGGCTGGCTAAGAGGCAAAGGATGGACCACGTAGGTTTTACAGCCAGCACGTAGGGCCATGTGAACTGCAGTTTCCAAAATACTTCATCTCGTAGGCACAGCAGTACAGTGCCTGGTGGTGTGTTCCTGAGCTGCAGGACGTGCAGTTGTTAGAATAACCGTGTTTTGTTTCTTCCAATATAAGTAACAGTTAATAGCTAGATACTAAAGTTTCATAGAATTCAGTCATTTCTCGTGAGAAGAGATGACATCTGTCTTTGTGGCATGAAGTTTCATCCCTAATATCCATGTTTGAAAGTTTGCCAGATATGGTCAATGAGAAAAGCTGCTTCAGAATTAGTTTTCAGGACTTTCTTCCTATCCTAGGGAAACTGCAATGCTGTCAAAAGCACTAATTGGAAAAACAAAATTTATTTTTAAAAAGGCTTTTCTGCTTACCCTGTTTGCCAGTATTTTATAGATACGCAGTATTTACAGGTCCTACTGGCAGCACGGCAGGACGGGGTACAGATCACTGCATTTACAGCTCATCAGGCACACCTAGATATGCAGCAAGTATGCAGTGAAGTCTGTCAGATTTATCACCATAGGATGTTGTTCTTACTTAAATAAGTGTTAGTGTTTCACTACCTACTCTTGAAGTCAGATTTGACCAGATTTGATTCATAATCAGGGTACAATACCATAGCTGGTGTGATTACCAGTTCACACACCACATAGAAGAGCAAATGCATTCTAAATGCAATATGGTCACATACTTAATATGAAAAAGCACTAAGTTGTGTTTGTTTCAGTTTAAGGTGTAAGTAGAACAAAGAGAACAATGGTTATTGCTGTAACATTGCATCAGCATTGAATAAAAGTGGTGGGGTTTTTCTCCCTTCTTTTCCTTCGTCTTTTTTTTTTTTAAATGTGCATGCACAATTCTGGCTTGCAGCAATTGGCTTGCAGCAGTTGGCTTGCATGTTCAGTTAACTCTTACTAAATTATGCCTTTGAATTTAGTAACCCTGCTGTTGCTGCTCAGGAATGCAGAGCTCTCACTCACAACATGGGAATTTACTCTGTTGCCATGTGCTGCAGTGAAATAAATTGATCCATCTCCTGCCTGATGAACAGCTTTTTGCTTAAATTTCACTCTTGGATTTGTCTGTAGCACTTGTCTGGCCTGGGTGGTGGTGCCTCGGGTGGTGGTCTTTGGTAAGGGTGTTCTGCTCCGGAGCTCTCAGCCCCACGGCAGCTCTGCTGCTTTGTCTGTGTTTCAACGGTGGCAAGAAGGTCTGTGGACAAAAGCCATTTGTGCATTTCACCACATATTGCTGGGATCATGCATCTGCTCGTTTAGTATTTTCACACATAATTTCGGCCTAATCCAATTTCCATTGATATAACTCCATTGACACTAGAGGCACACTGATTACACCCGTGGGCATGAGTGGAGAAATTCTGGTTTGGGGCACGCAAGGTGAGCTGTCACTGGGAGAACAAAAAGAAAACAAAACGCGGAGCATGTCTCTAAGTATGTCTGTGGAAACTGACTTCAAATCAACCCACAGGGTCATTTGTGTTAGTGCTGGGCATATTTAAGGCCCTGTTTTGTTGTTGTTTTGAAAAACCAGTCATAGTTTTATCAGATTTCACTGTTTACCTTTGGGTGAATTCAGGTTACATCTTTATTTATTTCATGGTTGGCACCTTACAAAGGAGTTTTGGAAGCAGTTTGCTCAGAGAAATGATCGGTTATTTTGTTTGTTGTTTTTCTTCTTCTATATCTCAAAAAAAAATCTTAATTTTTGAGCACTTTCCCCTACCCCTGATACCACTGTACTAGATGCGTCTTCAGTTGATCAGTGTTTTATGGGCATGCTGTGTGCAAGGTATACAGGCAGCTCAGCTTTTCGGTTCCTCACCTAGCAGGTGCTTGTTTTGAGAGCTCCCCATCTGATTTTTGCAGATGTTTTTCCAGCTAAATTTGCTTTCAGTCCTGGCAGTAGTTAGCGATATAGATGTTTTTCTGTTCGCACTTCTGGTACTCCCTGATTTGTTTTTCAGAATTTTCCCAGAGATATTGGCTGGTTTTTAAAACAAATCCTTAGCATAGCTTCTGCCTGCTTAGTGTAGCTTGTCGTAACAGAGCTCCCTTCCACCTTGTCTGGCCCTTGTGGCTCCTTTAGCAGTGGCCCGAGTCCTGCACCAGAGCCCCAGCTATGTCAGTCACAGCTTTAAAAGAAAGGAAAGTATTAAAAACAAACGCTGTGCCAACCCCGTGGCATCCCATGGCAGCTTTGCCCCTGACTCGTGACCTCTTCTGTGCATTCCCTCCCTGAAGTCCCAGCTGGGGACCCCAGCCCCAGGTGGTGGTGCCGCGGGGCTGGCTGGGCTGCAGCTGCAGCACTCGTGTGCTGTGCTCACCGTGGGCCACGGGCCAGGCAGCTCTGCTCATTTCCTGGGACCTTGTTTTTAAACACAGTCCAAATTAATAGCTGATCTGCAAGACACTTTCAGACTTGTTATCATTTGGTGTAGTTACTACTGAAGGGCTGGGAGCAGATAAAGAAGGAAGGTTCCTCTGGTGGTTCAGTGGTTTTGTCCATTGATATTTGTATTTGTTTTCTTTTCCAGCTGGTAGCCCGATTGTGGTATTGCTGCTTGCGTGTTATCAAACTGACTTCTAGCCTTAAATTATGATATTTCTCTGTATGGATATCCAGATTACGATGTCAATTGCCTTTTTATTTCTTTGTTTGTGGTGAAGCGGACAGCTAAGTGGAGGGAGCACCCTTGCTTCCAGCTTGTGTCTGCTGCTAAGATTCCTTGAGTAGAACAATTTTCAAAATGATCAATTGCAACATCACAATATCACAAAAAAACTGATTGATTTGCATTTCTGGCAAATTCTCACGCACCAATTTTTTACAATCTTGGTCTTGAAGTATGTCCTATTTTTTTTTCCTCTTTTCTTGTGCTTCAAATCATACTAATGCAATCTTTAAATGAGTTGCTGTTAGTTTGGCATAAATTTGGAGGCAATTTGAAGTTAGCAAAGTAGGCTCTCTGCTGATCAGAAATACAAAGCATATTTCCGAGCTGTTGGGAGCTGGAAATGTTTGCATAGCCATTTATCATACAAATATTTTGCATGTCATCAAGAAATCTGCTAATGAGCATGTGGACTGCTTCATCTGTGGAAAAACTAGCAGTCAGGTAGCTTGAGAAAGCTCAACTGTGTTTTTAAACTAGAGATTATCACTCTCTCTGAGTTTCCAGTGCAATTCCATGTTCTGTCTTGAAGACCAGGTAGATTTATTTATTTTTTCCTAAAGCGCAAGAAATGCTTTGCAGAATTCCATTTTAAAGGGTGTCTGCGGAAACCCGTGGTCAGTAAATTTCTGTGTCTTCACCGCAGCAGTGTTAGGGCAGTGTCAGAAATCAGTACAGTTCTCCCACCTCCCTGTGAGCCAGTGCAGTTCAGCACAGTTCAGAGTTGCAAAGTGCCGTTTTTTGAAGGAAGTGGTGAAGCCTCTCCCTGGCTCCTTGCTACACGCGGTGGTGGGTCTGGGGGTGGCTGCTGCTCGGGGCGCAGGGGCTGTTCCCAATCCGTGTGTGTCTTTCAGGGCCAGCCGATGGACCAAGCTGCTCTGTTCACTCCGCAAGTTCGCCCCCCGGCTCAGCTCCCGCAGTACCCAGGGTTGCAGCAAGCACAGGTACTGTGCTGCTCTGGTGGAGTGAGTGCCTAAAGATGTTTTTTAAACAGGCTTCCTTCACCTTCCCGTCTGCTTGTCCGTGCTGAAGGTTTGCCTGGGGCTTGTCTCATGCATGTGGCCTAGGGCAGTGGTGTTGCCCTGTTCTGGGGTGTTCACTGCTCTCTGCACGCTGCAGCTAGTAAATGTAAGGCAGCCACTTTGCAGTTTTTCCCTTAATGATGTTGCTGGTAAAGACAATCATACTTCTGAGCGAAGTCTGAAATTTGACCTATTTTTTGTGAGATATTGACACCAGCAACAGTTTAAAATGAACCTCTGTTATGCTGTGCATGTATTCATTCTGGAACTTGGGGTTTTGGGGCAGGGGGAGAAGGGAGGTGGAGCAGTGAGCACAGCCCCACTCTTGCCCAGTACCTCTCGGGGAGGGAGGGCACAGACCAGGCTGGGGCCTTTGTGTGCGGCCCCGTTGTAGCTGCCTGAAGCTGCAAGCAGAAGCACTGCCAGCATGGGGGACCCTGCCTCGTACTGATGGCTTCTAGTTGCCGGGTTTTAGTTCCTTGATAAAAGCCATCTCTTTCTCTTATAATGAAGCTAATTTAAATCGGGTTAAGTTACACAGTGAAGTCTCTCTCTTGTCTGTTTCCCACGCAGAGCATGCCTCATGGATACACAATGTACAGCACACAGATGCCTTTGCAGCAGCAGCAGCCCTGGCGGCGTGGTGCTCTCCCCCAGCTACAACCCCCGGGCATACACAGCGGCTCACTCCGGCCCCGCGCTGATGGAGAGGCTGAGGCAGATGCAGCAGCAGCCGAGTGGATACATCCAGCAGCAGGCTGCTGCATACATCCAGCCTTTGGCAGGCACTCAGCGGTGAGGTCCTGCTGTTCTCGTAGCTGGTGACATTGCAAGATTTTAATGGCAACTTGGATTTAGAGGTCTAAAGTTTTGCTTAAAGTTAATCAAAATGAAGCTAATGCTGGGTCTAACTAGCAATAAATTTGCCTTTCTCTCGTTTCCCCCTACTTGGTCTTGGCACAGGTTGTAGCCCAGTTGTATCCTGTGTGTTTGTAGAGCATAAAATTTCATTTAAAGGTGACTGTTGGGTCCTATTTCCTGCTCCCCTCTCCCTATTCTATAAGCTGTATCCGTATTATGCAAATAAGTGTGCAGTGTCAAACATTAATAAATATATCAGGTTCTGTAGTCAAGAAAACACAAGACCAATTTGGTAGTTTAACTAGCAATAGACAAATGAATTTCAGTTCAGCCTGAATACACTAAATTGACTTGAGTTTGAAAATAAATCTGAGTCATAGCCTATAAGAAACAGGAAAAATACAGTGGTAAAGAAATGTAATGAAACAGAAAGCAAATGAAGCAGGAACAACATCTATAAGCAGGATTGTTAAAGAGTATCCTGAGTGGAAAACTAGAGTTTCCAGTGAAAGTCTTGAATTGGAGATTTTTATTTTTTTTTTTACTATAATGTTCTAAGATAGCATTTCTTGATTTTTTTTCTTTTTTATTTTCAGTATTTTAGAAATTAAGAAGCCTAATAATCAGTTTTAAGTTCATGGAAATGCAACTAAGAGATGTTTTGGCCAGAACACTTTAGTGCTTATATGGAAGTCTTGCTTGAAACATAGAAAAGCAGAAGTCAAATTATTACCTATATCAGTTGCCAGGCAATAGGATGGTACAGCTTCTCTTATGGGATATATTTCATAGCATTTATATTTGGAAAAATATTCTTCCTGTAAAACTTAACATCTTCGAAATCTGTAGAACTCTGATGTTGTACCTTGTAGCTGAGTACTCCTAGACTAACTTTTTGCTGTTTACAAATGGAGTACAATTCCTTTTTTATGTTATTATTTTTCAACCAGATTGAGCCATCAGCCTTTGCAGCCAAATTCGTTGATAGGAGGGGGACTGGACAGTGCATCAACCACAGGTCCTCATCCAAACCTGAACTCGGCACAGCTGCCTCAGGAGCAAATGCGACAGAGGCAGCAGCAGATTCGACAGCAGAGACTCTTCCAGGTGAGAGACCCAACTGCTCCAAAGGCAAGGGTTGCTTCATTGCAGGGAATGTAAACATCACTGTAGCAGGGGATGGAGTTACTGCCTCACTTGTGCATTCAAGCCTAAAGTAGAGGAGCTGGCTGCTGTTAATCCCAACTGGTTTCACTTGAGTGCAGTAATTTATTGCTTATATCTGGGACTTCCAAAAGAGAGCTCTAGGCATACGTGTGAAAATCAGTACTTCAGTTTTTCAGGATAGTAGAACGCTTTTGGAAAAGGTAAATTTGAGAATAGCCTAGCTGAATGAACTGGGACAAAAGCAGTGGTTATGCTCTATCTACCCTCTTGGGCCTTATATACTGAAATTAAATTGATAATTAAATTAAATAGACCTGTTTGTTCTATTATCTTTATTCTGATTTGATGATATATTTTTAGTTTGGAGGGAAGCATTGGTTTATCAGCTAAGTATGTAAGGCTTTTCCCAGGGGAAGTAAATTATATTAAAAATTCTTCCCGTGCCCTTTGATGGTTGGAATTATTTTCATATTCTCATTTTAATGCAATAGCTCTCTGTGCCAGCTCTTGTCAAATGATAAGGCATTTTGTCTAGATTTTTTTGACATAATAAACAAAATATACCAGCTATTTATATATTTTGTATATTAAAAATGGCCTCGTGAGCCTTGCTGTGGCAGAAGATGAACAGAACTGGAGCGCTGTGAGGTTCATCTCCCACATGGGGCCTCCAGTGACCAGTGCTGTAAGCAAGGCCAGATCCCAGCCTGTGAAGCAGTCACAGAAAGCCATCTGGCTGGGCTCATGGTGGTTCCCTGAGGCAGTGTGCGAGCAGCAGCACCCTCGTTTCAACACCCTCCTTCTTCCAGTTGCAGCAGGGGCAGCAGCAGGGCCAGCAGCAGCCACAGACGCTCGGTCTCCAGCCCGTGCAGCCGCAGCAGCCCTTGGTAAGCAAACGTGAGGCTGGGGGCAGGCGTAGCACAGGGTGGGCTTTGTCGCTTCTGTGACGGGCAGCGGGACAGGCAGCTGGGACCTGCACCTCGCCTGTCCCGGGCAGCTTTCAGCACAGGCCGTGGGCAGGGGGCTCGTGCACTGCCCTGCTCAGCCCCTGCAGCATGGCTGGGTGGCTGCTTTTCAGAGGTGCTCCTTCCAGGGCTGCGGTGTGCAGCTGCCCCCTGCCCTTCTGTGCTTCACGCAGCCGTGCAGTCAGAACCGTTACCACAGCTGGGCCAGCTATGGCCAGGTGTTCTGCTGAAAAAAGGATGTGTGTGTGTTGGGAAGGGGGAGCAGTTCAAACGCTTCATTCCAATGCATCTTTTTGAAATTACGCTAACAATATTGAACGAGAGCTAATGGTTGAGATCCCAAGCAATAAAATAACTACCCATAGCAGTTCTTTAGAGAAGTGCTTGGGGATGCAGTTACGAAATGAGTACTGGTGCTTTTCTAATTTGGTACATCTCTTTTCCATCACCAGTAAAACAAGACTGATGAGACTAGCTGCCTTAGGTCTGTGTGCGAGTTCAAAGAGGGAAAAAAATGAGAGGTTGTGAAATCATCCTCACCCCTACTATTAAGGCATAAATAAATGATTATTTTTAAAATCTGGTACAGAACCAAGTACTGTAAGACTCACTGAAAAGTCAGGGATCTTTTCCTCTGGAAGTGTAAGGACTTAGTTGTCCTACAGCAGCAAGATAAGGTGAATTAGCATCTTACTTCTGCAGGATTTTTTTTTTCATTTATAATTGCTGTGCTATGTGTTTTTACAAGCGTTATCCTAGTTAAAAAAAAAAAAAAAAAAGTAATAATGAATAGCCCTTGCTAGCTAATAGCTTGATGAGAAATACACAGTTGCTGCTGATGCCTGTAAATGGGTGGATTTTTATGTCTTTGTATTGTAGGCTTTTAAGGTGAACACAGGATAACGTGAGGCTATTTGTGGGAGAAGTTTTTGCTGTAACGCTACGAAAAACATTCACTGTGAAACATACGGTGCTGGTTGTCAGCATTGTCCTGTGTTGCCAGGCTTGTGCTGTGTTTGTGTGAGCATCCGCACTCCCTCTGGTGTTGGCTGCGGATCGCGGCTGCTCCACTGCCGCCAGGCTCCTGCCCCTGCCTTAATTCAGTTCACAGTGGCTGTCGGTGACTTCAGGCCTTTGATATTTAGGTTGTAATGCTAACATTTTTGGGGGGAGAAAAATAAAGGGTTATATTGTTTGAAGGTCCTTTTAAATTAAATGATTAGTCATATAAGAGAGCTGCATGAAGGCAATTGTACAAACAAACTTATTTTTAAGACATTCCTTTAGACTGAATTGGAGCCTTTCATAGTTTTTTGTATGATTTTACTAAATCACTATCGCTACCAAATAACTTTTATGGATGCTTACACTGAATTTGCAGTGCTGCTGTCCATGTTTTCTGTACTTTGTCATTTTTTTCAGATGCATTTAAGGTAGTTGAGGATAATTAGAAAAAGGTTGTTCTAGAAAAATGGAAAAATTGGAATTTCTAACTGCTGAGTTTACAAGCATTAATCAATATAATCTTATGGAGAAAATGGAAGGCAGCATGTAGGTGCAGGAGTAAGGATAAATGAAGGACGTTTATCTGATAGCTATTGAAGGATTATTTACATCCGTTTTTGAGTTTTTCCTAATAGCTTTTTTATCTTGAACAAACTGCATGTGAAAGGCTGTCTGTCGTGGAGACAGAGCACCTGCCTGGCTGCTGGCTGGCTTTTCCAACACTTAGCACAGCAGGATGCTTTTTGCTGGTTTCACGTCCCTGAGAAGCCCTGGTACAGTTAATGCTTTTGACTGACCTCAGCATTTACTAAGGACTGTTTGCCAGAAGATTACACAATGTATTTTAAGTAAAGGATTTGGTTTCAGAAAGGGAAAAGAAGTTGAAGTCTTACTAAAACACTGAAAAGTCCCTTCAGTAACCAGGAAGTTTCACTGAAACAAAGCACGGGTGTATTTTGTAGGGCATGTGATGGACAAGAGTATCAAATATTTTTATTCAGTACATCAGGTTTTCAACGTGGTTGGATATGTTATTATGCAGAATCTGTGGATGCTGTATTTAAAAACAAACAAAACCCGCTACTTAATTAGAAGTGGTGTCCTTCCACCATATCCAATGAGAAGGAAAGTTACAGGATGTAGGAATGGACCGAGAGAAGAGCTTAGAGGCCCTGAAGATAAGTAATACAATAAATGGTGCAGGTTTGTTTTCAGCACTAGCATAGCAGCATCTCATTCATCACGATTTTCCTCCCTGGAGTATGGAAGTGTGAGGGCCTTGCCTTTGGCTTTCTGTCCTTGGAGAGCCTGAAGGTAACTGTTACACAGATATCTCTTTCCTAGAGGTGACACGTGGGTTTTCAGAGGGAATAAATGCCTCTTGTGTATACAAAGCTTTTGCACCAGAGGTATCCATCCTAACCGTACCTTTGCTTCAGATGGTCTGTGCCAGATCTGTCCATCATAACTCAGTACTGTGACACCTGTCTGTCTGATCAGTAAGTTAGTAAAATAGAATGATTTTCTCCTGAACGGCAGGTAGAGGTGTTAAAAACAAAGTGGTGCTTCTTTTCCTACCTAGGCTTACATGAAAAATAGACTGTTGTCTAGCTAGGGAATAATGCAGGCTGTCAGACAGACCAATTAGAGATTAAATTCTGCTTTGATGTAGATACAGATAGTGTGCAAATTGGTGAAAGTCGGTGCATTTACACCAAGGGTGCTTTTGAAGCGATCGAAGTCATGATTTACTTCATTAACAGCAGACTTCTTTGGATGCTTTTTGTGTCTAATTCCACTGTGCTTAGTGGCACACGCTGTGAGGGCTTTGCCTTGATCCCTGTGGGTTTCAGGTCAGGGTCAGAGCGATGACCGGTTTGCTCCGCGGATGAGCGTGCCCAGCTGGGCGGGCACCGAGCAGTTCCCATTCCTCTGGAGCCAAGAATCAAGCACGCAGCTACAGCCCTGCAGCGGACCAAACAACCTCTGCCTTGTGCTTATCCCTCCTGTTATCTGAAGTGCCACTGCCCTGGGAGAAACGTTTTTTTGGAAGCTTAAGTTTCTTTTGAGCATTACACTTAAAATACTTGCAAGTGTTTAAAAATGCCCACAAGGCTGTTAATTTTGATTAGCAGTTTTGATTTGCCTTAGCTTTGAACAAAGCAGACAGTAAAGCTGCTTGAAGTGACTTGTGGGATGAATACTGGCCTCTCCAGAGCTGGAAAAGATGAGCTTTTTGTAACAGAGACTGGACACACGTGATACCTACAACATCATTGGAAAAGTGTAAAATTTCAGGGAATGAAAACAAACATTTTGTAAGTTTTAAGTGTGCTCCACGTGTCCTTACTGTGCCGTTAAAATTTGGTCAGGATCTGCATCGAAGGCAGGTCTGCCTTTCTTCTGCTGGCCTCTACCTGCGCTGTCAGCAGCTCGCATGCTCGTGTTTCCTCCTGGGTTAGGTGACTGAAATAGCTCCCCACTGCAAGGCCCGGCTGGAGCAGCTGCTGTAAGATCAGGACATGAGCATCTGTGTTACTGCCTCCTGTGAAGCATTTGCTCTTCCCGGGCAGCAGCAGCTTTGGGGCTGCCTCCTGTTCGCTGCCACCTCCCCAGCACTTCTCTGCCGCTGCTCAGCCTCATCGCCACGCGGTTCTGTGAGTGCTGGCACAGGAGCAAGGCAGGAATTTTTTAAAAGACCCAGAGAAGAAAGTAGTTTTGAAGAAATGCTGGGATCTTCTCCTGGTGGTGTCAGCCTGGAGGTGGGATGGGATGGGTCGTGGTGTCCCAGTGACCTGCAGTGCTAGCAGTGGTGCTCCTGTGCCAGCCCTACCAGGAGCTCGGCAGCGCAGCTCTCAGGAGGGCACTGGGGCAGCTGCTGAGGAGGGTTTTCTGCTCACTCAGTGCCGTGTTTGATGCCTATCACAGCCCTGCTGGAGAAGGTGGGGGGCTGACCCCCAGACATCCTTGTGCTGGGGACACACAGAGCTGTGTCCGCCAGCACCGTGACTGTTCACGGCTGCACTTCTGTAACGTGTTAAGGCACAAGTTGAACACTTTTTGCTGTTACTTGACGTGCCACTTACGCTGTGCTCCTTTCTTCCATCTTTCTGATTACTTCAGCAGTTTCCACGGCAAGGCTTACAACAGACACAGCAGCAGCAACAGACGGCGGCACTGGTCAGGCAACTCCAGAAGCAGCTCTCTAGTAAGTAGGAGTCTGTGCATACACGTGTGTGTGTCTGTACCGGGGCATGGAATTACTTTTCTGGAGACAGTCTGCCTGTTTAAGTCCTGCCATGCATGCATATAAGTAATTTAACAGCAGGTTACAGACCCCAGCTGCAATGTAGTAGCACAATTCTGGTGCTTGCACATCCCCTGCACTTCTGTTGGTCTCTGGAGGCACCTGCAGGACTGGTGGCCCCTTCACGATCTGCTGCCCGTTCTGTCCCCTCACTTCCATAGCCATACTGCTGGCAAAGTCCCCGAGGAAATTAGCAAATCGTGCGTGCATTAGACAGGTATATAAGGGAATGTGTTGACTATTACTTGCTATTGCTATGTGAAATATAGGTGTTTTTCTGTATTTTTGTAGAGTACAGTCGTGAGGCACAAACACTTCCCTTTACTTTGTCAACCAGGTAACCAGCCACAACAAGGAGTGAATCAATATGGGCATCCTTCACACTTCTAAATGAAAAAGATGGAAAGGAGACGTAGTGTTACGTTTGCACTGAAGAACAGAACATTCAAATTTCAATGCACTAGTTATTGCTAGAAAGCAAACTTTCGTTTTCTTCTCTGATTTCAATAATTATTTTTTTGTGCTGCAGTTGATGTGAATATGTAACAAGTTTTTTTGGGGTTTTGATTTCCTTTGCATTTAATTAGATTTAAATGTAGGGATGTGTGGGCCTACTTGAAGAATGTTATTGCAGATTTTATGAATTTGGTGCTTTTTAGGTCCTGTTACTTTTAAAGAGGACAAAGAATGCTGGATTTATTTATTTGTGGGAAACACTTTCTTGTTATTCTTTTTTTTTTTGTTGTTGTTATTTTTTAAGAACTGCACTGGACCAAACTACTGAATTGAAAGGCACTTCCAATTTTGGCATAGAAGTTGATTTGTTCATTAAAATATTCACATCTTTGTTTAATGGTAGAACAAGTGTTAATTTAAATTGTATTCATTTGACTGTAATTTTCATATGCACTTTATAAAGTTCTTTGTTTAAAGTAACAATTCTCTCTCGCTCTCATTGTGGTCAGAAGGTGCTGAAGTGGGTTTATTGCTTGTATTAGAACCTCTTAAAATTTATATTAAAAGCCACAATGTAATGTTAATAAACCTACTAGAAGTAGCAGTGTATTTTCATATTTGGTCCTTTCAATATAAAGTTCATTGGTGATCAGTTGAAAGAGTACAAAACATAGTAACAAGGACTGAGCAGTCAGAATAGGTTTTAATCTGCTCATGTAGGGCAGCCTCCGAGTGCTGGTAAAGCCTGACGGGAGACAACTCTGTGTCTCGATGGGTTCAGTAAGAATATCTCATACGAGGGTTCACAAGGAGAGGGTGGAAAAGCCACCAGAGTCTTTCTTGCTGTTTCAGTGTTTCTGTAGCTGACACGTGTGTATACTGAAGTCGCCCTATATGAGTTATTCCTGTTATATATGTCTACTACTACTTACTTTGTATGTTAACTATTTAAAATTCTGGGTTTGATGCTTGATTGCTAAGTGAGTTTCAGTGGTGTAATGCATTATTTATCATCAGCCGAGTGCAAAACTACAAGTAAATTACAAATCAAACCATTATTTAAACCTGTTCAAATATGTCATAATTTTGAGTTTAAAACAAAAGAATAAATTTATTACTATTTTATGTAATTTAGGAGTCAGTCTACTTGATATTTTAAATGCTTTCATTTTGAATATGGAACAAGCAGGGCATTAAAAATATCCATAGGAATGCTTTTTTGCTGTTCTGTATTAACTCAGTATACTTGATCTGCCATACATGGAGTTTACAGGTGGTGGTGTAGTCGGGTGTCCTGCAGGGTGGGGGCAGATGCATGGCACACACCGCAGAGAGCTGCAGAAGGCCGAGCAATGGTGAGTGAGGGAACACCCCCAGCACCAAAATCTCAGGAATTTGTGTCCCAGATATCCCATATTACAAGGTTATTTCTATATTCTTTACAACAATAGGAATCATTCAAGCTATAGACTGTTATACTTGCCTTATATGATCCCATCCAGGAAGATTTAATAAATACTTAAATTCCGTATATTTTGATTGTCTTTTAGAATAGTCAGGGAAGTTTTACTTGCATAAACTTCTTTTATTTTTTTTTTAACAGAGGTTTACTTATCCCTTGTGTCAGAGTTCCCTGTTCTTCCTACCAGAAGTAGCTATTACAGATATTGCATAGTGAGATTCATGTAATCCAGACAGTTTGGGGGTACTCTGTCAGCACTACAGAAGGAAGGGACAAGCACACAGTGAACTGCATGCATGCGACTTACATCAGGAAATGATCGAGCCAGCACAAAAGTAATCCCAGCTGAGGTTATAGTCTTAAAAATAAATCCCCAAGCTGATTATAATGTGATTAAATGAGGTAGAATCTGCATTTAGCTCTTGGCACTAGAATACTTTCTCACCCCTGAGTATCTTATGGGTTAATCAGCTGCTGCTGAGATGTTAATGCAGGAGGTTCGGCTGCTGTTACTGCATTGTCTTTGAGGAGTTCTACTGCAGACTCTTCTTAGAAGTGGTAGATATTATAGGCCGGAAAAAACATGTTACAATTCTTCATTTTTTTAAAATATTATTTTAAAGATGTAAAGAGACAGAACTCAGGAGGCAGGGATGGTTGCACGGAACCCTTTGTATATCCAGCAGACTTCCTGCGATGGATATGGACAGTGCTCTTGCCAAACAGCCGTGGCTTCAGCTGTGCAGTCCCTGCTCCTCCCCACGGAGGATGCAATGCAGGGTGCAGCAGGCTGCTAGAACAGCTGGGACTGCAAGTGGCAACACAGACTTTTCCATGATCTCTTCTATGATACATGTATGTCCCAAATTTGAAAATCTACCCTTCTATCCTGGCATTAACCTCAGGAAGAAAATGAGTAAGAAACTCAGAGCTTTATACCTACCTGCTGAATTGAGAAAGCAAAATTCTAAATTTACATGCAGACTGATGTATTGTTTTCTAGTCAGAAATCTTTAAAAGCGATTTTGTGACAACTGGAAAATTGTACCAACCTGGACTGTTACTATATCCAGTCTGTATTATTATTTTTAAACAGTGTTAAGCAGAACTTACTCTCTTTTTAAAAATTAGAACAAAATTTTTCTGTAAGTATCTTTCCAAAATTCTACAAAAAGACTATGAAACAAAGGTGTATTATTAAAAATAATTCACTACATGTTTCACCGTTGAATATTTATTAAAAAAAAAAAAACAACAAAAAACAAAAAACAAAACATACTGAATAATCAAACATAATAAGGTAATTTGTATCACAATTAAATCTGCTCTTTGGTTCTCAGATACTCTTGCTTTATGTGATCCATGCTCATGATCATCATACAAGGTGGACAACATTAAACTATTTAAAAGTCTATCCTTTTCTGAATGTCTCTAGGTACATTTCTAGAAAATAATTTTATTGAATATTCCAAGTTTGTTGGTGGAGCAAAAGTGCCTTATTATTTTTAAGTCCATTTAATCATGAAAGAATCAATGGTAGATAGTAACGCTAGATCTAATTTCCCCCAAGCCCTTTCTCCCTTTTTTGCATGGTCATTGCAGAGTGAATACTGTAAATGTATTTAGGCACTTACATGCCTTTGGCTGCCTTTGATTAAACTTACTCCAAGAATAAACTCAGTCCATCTGTAGGCTTTGCTATTCATTCTGTTTTTCTTATTTCAAATGACATGAATGTACGTTACTGTGAAGTCACTGCCAAGATGGTTCTTCGCCGTGCACTTGTACATGCCAGAATCTGACGGCCGGGGATCCTGGATGACCAGTGTCCCTGGGGGATGAAGCAGTTTGCTCCTGGACGCTTGGCCTTTGTTACCTGTAGAGAGTATCGAGTGGTCAGGTAATTCCCACATAATTTCTGGTTTTGGTATTCCCAGTGCCATGCAGGTGAGTTGAACTGCTGCACCAGGCATCGTATGTACGGTCTGTGGTGGTCTGTTTGTAATCCTGGGGGGATAGGCTACAATAATGACAGGAACAGTTAGAGATGACTCTCCAGCGTTATTATGGGCCTTACACACGTAATTCCCTCTGTCGTGAATGGAAGCTTCTCGTATAACTAGAGTGCCATTTTCCAGCAGAACGTATTTCCTATTGATCTGAGGTCGATCCAGCACAAAGCCACCTGGCAGGGTCCACGCTGTGTTTGGTTTGGGACTCCCGTCAGACAGGCAGTGGAGCGATAACGATTCCCCACTGATGCCCTTCACTGGCCCCTTGGGGTGCACCAGAATACTGGGCTTCTGGCCGATCTCCAAGATGATCAGCCTTTCAATGTAGCCAACTTTATTCTTAGCTGCACAGCGATACTTCCCTGCTTTGTCTCTGTTAGGATTGTAGATGGTAAGAGTGCCATTGCTTCCTGTAAGAAACTGGGAAGTCTTGATCCCCTTGGAAAACCACGTGCCGTTAGGCAACATCCAGCTTATTTCAGGTGGAGGGTTTCCATCCACAGAACAATTCAGTGTGGTAGCTTTTCCAGGTTTTGCTATTATTTTTTCATTGAATGGATTTTTAAACATTGGTCGCCTTAGCATTTCCAATACCTCCAGCCGCACCACCAACATGCTCTCTCCCCAGTCATTACGCGCCACACAGATAAAATCCGCTGTGTCAGAAGGTCTCAGGTTCCGAATTTCAAGTGTTCCATTTTTGTATACTACAATCCTACTCCCATAATATGGAGCTGTTAGGAAAATGTTATCAGGCATAATCCACATAATCTGAGGGGGAGGTGTCCCTTCTGCCCTACAGTCGATTTGTTTCTTTGAATGCCTCACTGCTGTCACTTTAATAATTGTTTTGTTTGTGTATAAACCATTTATGATAGGCGGTTTAGCCTCAACATCCAGTTTAAACAATTTTGTATCATCCCCTCCAGCATTACGGGCAACGCACATATACTCCCCAGCATCCAGCAGTTTGACTTGACTCACTGACAGGGAACCATTAGCATGCAGGAAGTATCTGTCTGTCGAGGAGGAGATCATGTCACTGGAAGGTAGCAACCAGAATATTTTTGGCTTGGGTTCTCCAACAACTTCACAGTCCAATAATGCCGTATCTCCAGCTTTCACTTTTATGTATGTCTTGTAACTGTGCTTTATCTGAGCAGCTGTCGTTACGACAGTGATGTGTATTTTCATTTCATCTCTTCCCAGCGTGTTTTGGGCATAGCAGGTATAATCTCCCTCTTCTGTTATGCCGACTTTGTTGAGATACAGAGTTCCATTGTCAAAGAGGACGTATCTGCGAGACCTGTGTCCGCTGTCATCAGCCAGCATCACGTTATTGATCACAGTCCCATCTGGCAAACTCCAGGATATTTCTGGTGCAGGTGACCCAGAGGCCTTGCAGTCCACTTTGAAATCTTTTCCATAGGGTACCAGTTTCTTGAAATACTGTTTCTGGTCAATCTTGGCAGGTTTCATTGTGATGCTGACTTTCATCAGTATCAGATCATCTCCAATTTTGTTTCTTGCAACACACAAATAGTCACCTGCATCCTTTTCAGTAACTGCCTCGATAGCCAAGGATCCATTGGGGTACACATGGATTCGACTTCCCATTCTGTTATGGGGAAAGAGGAAAAGAATCACAGAACAAAATATTGAAGGTAAATACCGAGCATTGGAAGTTTGAGAGTGAATTTATTTCACAATGTATTGTTTCAGTGACATAACAGCCCCTTACATAAGCATTGGAGAAAACAGTGTTTGAATTTTTCAAAGAGATGGGCAACAAAAAGACTCCTACCTGTGCCACTGGTCTACAACTGCCTTGGAAGGTAACCTCCAGATTATCCTGGGCTTTGGCTCCCCGGTTGCTGTGCAGTTCAGAAGCAATTTATCCCCGAAATTCAATCGCGTCATCTCTTGAGAGGCAGCAGCTATTTTGGGAAGTGTATCTCTCTGTTCCACCAGCAGGCTTACCACCCTCCTCTCCGAGCCAGTCGAGCTTGTAGCTATGCACTCGTAGTTCCCGCTGTCGGAAGGGGCGAGGTTGCTGAGGTGGAGGGTGCCGTTGGGGAACAGGAACAGCTTGGCGTTTATGAACTGCAGAGGTTTCACCACTGTTCCATCAAAGAGAACCCAGTGGACACTGGGATGAGGATTCCCTTCCACGGTGCAAGGGAATTTCAGGCTTTCCCCCATTGTTCCTGCAATTTGTTGTCGCTTTTCCTCCAAAATAACAGGAGGTGCCGCAATGACCTGCAGCTTCACAACCAGCATGTCAGTGCCTGCTGGATTTTTGGCCATGCATGTGTAGAGGCCCCTGTCATAAACAGTGACTTCCTCGATGATTAGAGTGCCATCTGGTTGCACGTGAACTCTTCTATTTTCCTTAGAAGAGCTGGAGATGTACGTTTTGTTGGCCAGGACCCACGAGACCGTGGGAGGAGGCCTGCCCTCAGCTTGGCACTTCATTGCCACGGCCTTCCCGGAGTGTGCGGTGAGGAGCCGCGGCCTGCTGCCGGCGATGCGGGGCGGGTAGGCCACCACCGACAGCGTGACCAGGAGCCGCGCCGTGCCGAGCGGGCTGCCCGCCGAGCACAGGTACTGCCCGCGGTCCTGCAGGCCTGCCCGCGTGATGGACAGCGTGCCGTTGGCAAACACCGTCCATCTGCCGCCGTCCGGGCTCTCCGCAGCAGGGGGCCCTGCAGAAGTGGGGGGAAACAGCACAGCACATCAGGCCCTCCCTGCTCTGCTGCTTTTGTACTCCGCGCCTGAATACGCTTTCCTTATCCTGGTCTGCTTTGCCCAAGTAACCAAGATGATAGTGGTAAGAAAGAGAGAAATAATAATTTGCATATAAAATAGAAATTACTGCTTTTTGCAGTAGAAAAGCTTTAAAGTTAAGACAAAACCTAGTTCCTCAGTAGAGACAAGGCTTGAATGAGGTAGGTAAGGCTTTGCACACCCAAAAAATATTTTAGCATGGTTGTAACTTGGCTTTGCATGTTCAAAAATATTTTGCTATTGTGGTAACTGGATCTGATGGTTTGTTACCATAGACAGTTTTTTCTTTTCATTTGTCTCATTGTTCTGAAATAACAGGTAATAAGTGCAGAACTAGCATTAAATATAGGTTATATATGTATGTTTAAAATTCATATAAGCAACTGTTTTCATAATTGGTATTAAACAATGTAACGTTTTTCTGACTATTTCCAAGTTCGTATTATCACTGATACTTCACAGTGCTCCTAGATGAAGCAATATTTAACTCTGTCCTACAAACCACCTGCCAAGTTACAAGATAAGAGCAGGAGGTAAATTCCAGAGAGGTCTGTGAAGCTTACCTGATGATATCTTGGTCCACTGTATTGTTGGCTGGGGGTTACCAACAGCTTCACAAGGAATAAAAGCATCTGAATTAGCTAGCACAGTAAAAGCAGCTAATTTTCCTCCAATTATTCTGGGCTTTGCAAAATGATTTCTGCTTAAAGGGTGGAAGGATATAGGGCTCCTGGTGGTAGTTTCTTGATCTTGTCTCTTGTCAGACCTGCCTTTGGCAGGATTGTTCTTGTCCCTACCCCACGGAGGAGCACACGGAGTAGCAGTCTGGGATGACTCTGGAACAGTCAGGGTGCTGCCAGCTAATATTTTGCCTCTCTCTGTGCCTTCAGTAGGTGGCTTCTGCCTGAATCCGATCCCCGCAATTGGAGGTGAGGAGGCTTCTGCCGTAGGTGCGGGTGGCCTGGCTGCTGCTGGGGCTGGCAGCGGGGCGGGATGCTGAGCGCGGGGGGCAGCGGTGCCTGTGGCTGCAGGAGCTCCGGCACTTGGCTCACTTCTTCCTGGGAACGTGGGCTGTGCAACGTGGTTTTCTCGGGTAACTTTCTTCTCCATCTCACCTGCCGTTGTGGTGGCTTTGATTTGCTGTGCGGGTTTTGATCCAGCACCAACTGGAGTGGGTTGTGTGCTTGTGGCACTGAATGGCTTTGAAAGCAGTGGTGTGGTTTGGGTTGTTGTGGTGGGGGTCTGAGGAATAAGCCCACTGGGTGGTAATGTAACAGACTGGATGTTCATCCGTGTGCTTGGGGTCGCTGATGTCTGCTTAGCTGCTGTAGGCATGTGCTGAGCTGTATCTGATGCAGCAAGGCTCCATGGCACTGGCATTTCTGTCACTAAGACTGCTCTCGCACTCTCAGGGAGAGGTTGTGCAGGTGTAAGACCTGCAGGCGTGGCTGCTGATTTGACTGTTGTCACGGCAGGTACGGCTGTATTCCCAGGAGGAACTGCTGTAGTGCTGTGGCCCGTGGTCAAGCTTCGTGAAGTAGATGTTTTAGGGGGCCTTTTCCTCCTCTGACCTCTCTTTCTTCCCACTCTGAGTATTTTACTTTTGGTGATTTTGGTGTCAGTTTGAGGAGTAACAATAGGTATAACTGTTGGCTTCAAACTTGCTACATCCCGTTCTTCAGTTGTGCTAGCTGCAGGACTAGAGTGAGAATGCAGCTCTGCAGTGGGGAGATGTTCTCCTGACTTACCATTGTCATAATGAACGGACTTGTTTAAAGACAGGAAACCACTACTGGGATCCCCACCCACTGAAATGGGTGTAAAGGGCAAAGGAGAAATTTTGGATGTAGGTAATGCTGCTGTAGTCTTAGGAAGCAAGACTGATACCTCTGTTGATGGAAACACATCCGTCTGGTGTTCTGGTAGCTTTTCCAGTACTTCCTTCTGAGTGTCGTTTCCAAAGAGACGTTCCCCAGTAATTTTTCCTCCTTGGGAATTTTTTGATGAGGCTCTAGACTTAGTGTTGGATGAGACTGATTCAAGGGTAGGAGGTATCTTAGTGCTTACTGTGTGTGCAATTTCTGCAGTAACATGAGCTGTGTAGGTTGTTGTTGGTGGTCTGGTGCTAAAAGGCTGGACTCTGTAAGTACTTGTCTGAAATGGTGCACTGGTCTCTGATTTCTGTTGGGGGGTATCCTGGGTGCTTTTTGTAAAGAAAGGCATCACCGCAGAAGTAGTTCTTTGCCTTGCAGCATGTTTGCTGTTCGCTGCTGTGGGGAGTGCTGCGTTTTGAACAGCTCCTGCTGGGTGCTCTAATGACATATTCATAGTGGAGGGGGAGGGCAGAGGTGCTTCTGGGCTAACTAGGTTGATGGAGCTGCTTAAATTATTTAAGGTAGGTAAATCTGATGTATACTTTGAAGTCAAGAGGACACCTGGAGCTGTATTTCCTCTGACAGAGTCTTGCTTCCCAAAATGGTACCTGTGCTCTTTCATATTTGGAATACGCCCTGGCCTGACAATTTTTCTCCTACCAGAAATTTTTCTCCTTCTTCCATATTGCTGCTGAGGTGCATGAGTTGTAACATCCTGAATAATTTGAATTTTCTGATGAGCAATGGTGTTTGAGCCCAGTGGCAGCTTAGTAATTACTGGTTTCTGGGTGCTATGAAGGTAAACGTGACCGGTTTCAGGATTTGGTTCACTGACTATTGCTGCAGATATCCGATGATCTGTTTTGGTGGAAATCTTATTAGCAGACTCTGTAAAAAGATGTAGCTTGCCCACCGTATTTTCAGAAGTTACAGGTTTACTGGTGTCTGTAACATCTGCCGTGGGTGTTGAAGACACAGGATTTAATTGCTGGCTAGGACTTTCTCCAGGAGATACCAGTCTTTGCTGAGTTGATTGTTTTATAACATTTGCTGATATTTGACTCAAAGCAGATCTTTCCCATGAGTTTGAATTTGTAATTGTAGGGTTTAGATATGTTTGTGGCCTTCTGCTGTCAGACGAGACAGACTGTGAAGAAGGAGAGGGTAGCGGAGCTACAGCCTCTGCAGCCAGGAGGGAGGCTGAACCAGCAGGACCGTTACTGGTGGGCATGCTGCGCCCTGCAGGTACCACACTCGGTGTTGCTTTCCCCAGAGGAGATGCAGTGGCACTCTCTGTTACTGGTATCATGAATTCTTGTTCTGGAGATGAGAGATCACCAGATGTTTCCTCCTCATCCACAGGTGCTTTTAATTGCTGACGACCTTGAATAGCTGGTTTTATTTCAACTTCTTGCTTTTCTACAAGAGTCGAGTTCCTCTTTGTTTTTTCCAGAAAGGCTGCCCAGCGCTGCGGGTCAACCCTCCTGGCTGAGGAAACAAACTGTCTCCTCTGCCCCCGAAACCTCCTGCCCATTTTGTCCCTGTAGTGACGGTAGGATGGTTTCCCATAACTGTGCCTTTTATAGGCACTCTGCGTGACCTGGTTTCTGGATGCTGAGGCAGCAGATTCCTCATTAGCTATCAAGGGAGCCAGAGTAGCTGATGGATTTGTATGCCTTCTAGCAGAGGCCAGCATTGCGTTTCCAGAGCCATCACTCTCTTCCCATTCTCCCACAGCTACCTGCATTTTCTGTGGAGTGTTTTTGTCCTTTCTAACTAGCACTTGGAGAACCAAAAGATCAACACCGTACTGATTGGCTGCAACACATCTGAAATAGCCACTGTCTTGCTCTGTTACCCCTTGTATTCTCAAGGTACCATTGTCAAAAATGTGTTTGTTTCTGGCAGAATGATGAAGAATCACACGCTCGGGTAACACCCAGCTAATAGCAGCATCTGGAACAGCAGCAGATGTACAGGGAAGGTAGAGTGTGCTGCCAACAGATGTGGAAAGGTGGGCTCCATTTACACTGCTGTGTTCCACATAAGGATCGACCACAGTAATTCTAAATGTGAGAATATCTGCGTCATTGTAATTCGTGCCTATGCAGTGATAAAGCCCAGTGTCAAAGGTGTCAGCTGTTCGTAATGTAAATGTTCCAGTTTTAACTACTATAATTCTGCCATCCTCACTGATATAAGGGGCTCTCACTTTGCTCCCATCAGCTAATATCCACTCTATTGCAGGAGCTGGATCTCCAATTGCTTGGCAATCTAGTTCTACGGTCCCCCCAACTAAAACAGTGTGCTGTGTTTGTGTTTTATTGTCCCTGGAGATGATTGTCCAGTTATTTCTCACTTTTTTTTGGTCAGGACTGGGCAAAATAATCTGGGCATCAGTGAAGTACTGGATGTGCAATGTGTTAAGTGTGGTTGCTGTCCTGTCTAGCTGTAGTGCTACTTTGCTTTGCATTAACCAAGGTGGTTCGGCTCTCAGTTCTGCCTCTACATTGGTGTGAAGTTCATCTTTTTCAGAGTAGATTTGTTTATAGCGGTAAGCAGTAAAAGGCATTTTAGTTGCTAGGGCATTCCTTTCTAGTTTTAGGGGGAAATTACTGTACAGGGCCAGTATGCTCCATAGCTGCTGGATATGCTCATAAGCAATATCGCACACCAGAAATGCTGTGAATGATGTTTTCAGTATTGTGTTGTTGCCATCTTTGTCAAATGAGAGTGGAGACATTTCTTTAGGTTTCTGGATGTTACAAACCAAATTGCCACGACTTCCTGCTTGGTCAGTCATGTTCAAAACCATGGATCCTATAGGAGCCATGAAGTCCTTGGTAGACACAGAACTGAAATCCCCATCGTCTGGCACTGTGAGGTTTCTAAATTTTAGGGAGTGATGTATGACTGGCTTAGTGCAGGTTAAAGATGCAGAAGGAACAGTGACAAAGTTTCTTCCTTTATAATTCTGGGGGCTAGCACAAACTGGGCATTGCTGAGCGCCAGAACTTCTGTCTTTTTTGCACTTTATGACATCTGAAGGGAAAAAAAAAAACAGTAAGCTTTTGTGATACAATTTTTAGCATTAAGACACACAAAGTTACCAACAAGTTGTTCTCTTGAGTGAAATACAAACAAAGTTCATCCTACAGTAGCCACTAGCCTGTGAGTTTTCCCTAGGGAAGCTGCCTGGTGACTGTTCCTGCCGCCCAGTAAGGGGCCGTTCAGTGGCATTGGTGTTGGGAGCGCTCTGCTGGGGCACGCGGCCACCGCCTCCTGCCGAGGCTGGAGCAGTTCGGGGTAACACTAGGCTACCACCTGCAGCTTTTCAGGGCAGAAACAAAAAGCCCTCAAGTCCTGTTTCTCATTTCTTTTTTTGAAGAATCATGTACAATGTGTCCTTCATTCCTGTGAGTTAGGTAAAATTTAGCTTCCTTATTCCCTGTGGATTTTCCTAGCACACAGAAGCTTCAGAGTGGCCAAGGAAAACATTTTGTTATGGAAAGCTGTACCTGGGAACAGATTAGGGCCACTAGATTCATTTAATTCAGGAAACTGGAGGGCATTAATCTGTTTATCCTGATTACATACACCTACAAAAATCCTGTTAACCATCACTCCTGGAAATAATAGAGAGAAGAGCTTAGAAGAATATATATTTCCTGCAGATGCATGGCACTATTTTAGGAGTTAAAAAAGAAAAAAGGAAAAAAGATAGAAAATAACATTTTAAGTAGAGGGGAAAAAAATAAGACATTATAAAAGTGCAAAAGAAAATATCAGGTTCATGTCAGTGTGCTATAATGGTCTACTATACATAATCAGTTAGTGGCAGGCTATGAAGGAGTGACAAGTTTCCTGTAGCTTCTTATGCTTCACATCTGGTACTTTAGTTTTGAATTTGCAGTGATTTTCATGTGGTGTGGTACAGCTGCTAACACATCCAACACACTTTTAAAAGATCAGTATGTAGATGGTATGAACAAGCCAGTAATTAACATGAAACAAATAAAAATTAATCAGATGTAGTTGCATTTCCAGTCTTCCTTGGAAGAATATTTAAATAAAGTACAATTGTATTAGAAAGAAAATTCATAATGGGGTTAAAAAGCATAGACAAAGCCTTCAGCTCACCTGGCCTCTGTCTCGACCATTCTGCAAACCACTGTAGACTGCAATCACAGGACCATGGGTTTCCGTGGAGGTAAATACTCTCTAGCTCAGACATGTAGGAAAACATTTCTTGCGGTAGTGAAGTCAACGCATTTTCAGACAAATATATGTGCTTTATGGAGGATATTTTAAATATTTGTACATAGTTCAAGGTGACAAAAGTATCTGGATGAAGCTGCTTAATTGAGTTTCCTTCCAAATGGACCAACCTTAGTGATGTTAGTCCGTAGAAAACGTTGGGATTTACAATTTCAATTTTATTGTGGTCCATATGCAACCGTACCAAGCTCTTCAGACCATAAAAAACATCTTGCTGCAGTACACTGACCTTGTTATAACTCATTTTTAATACCTGTTGATGAAAAAGTGACAAGTGTATATTATTAACCTATGTTATATTGCTGTAACACTCCTCCTATATAACTTGCTATAAACTCCTAACAAATTTTCATTGATGGTTACTCTGTGAAGTGAAAATACTTCAGTGGGTCAGTAATGCAAGTGACCGGGAAAAAAAAACAAAAAACAGTGGGAGAAGTTATTTTTAAATGCAATGTTAGCTGCAAAGGATTACAAGGATACTTTCTTGTTCCAACCATCCATCAGGGCCATTTCTGCAGTCACATTCACAAAATGTAGAGATTAAAAACAAAATAAATCAATGCTTAATTACTCACCCAAAAAGTCCCAGTTAAAGCACAATAGAACTACCAGGTTGTTCCTAGTTTCAGGATTTGTGTCGTGTGAGATGTGTACTTGCCAAACCTAAACTCTGAGGTGCCATTTTGTTGCTGACAGGTTCAAGTTCAGTAACTATGAGATGAACAAATCTGGCATATTGCTCAGGTATTAAATATGGTACCTAAGACACCCTTTTCATTATTACTTTTACTGTTAGAATTATTCTGTTACAGTAAGGAATTCTGTATTTTGAAAATTAGTGAAGAAAAAAACTACAAAATCCAAATAATGTGCAAGTTTATTTGCCAAATATAACTCCACTAAAACTATATTTCAGTTAAAGAACAAAACAGGCATCAAATAATACATTTTAAAAATCTACATGCATATATAATTATAAAACCAAGGAACTGTAGTTCTTTTTAAAACATTAAAATGTTTATATGTAATATATTCAGTTTCAATTCTGTAGGAGTCTTTTTTTGATGAAAGATGGAAAGGGACAGGACTACATTGTACTGAAAGGAAAGGGATATCTGAATGGAAAACTATCATCAAAAAAAAAAAAAAGCAAAATAATAAAAAAAACACAATTAACTATGACAATAACTGTGACAAATTAACTAAAAACAAGTTTACTACCACAATACAGTACTTGGAGCTGTATAATCTTTATCATGTGAAAGTCTCAGTTGTGGTTGCCAGTTAAGATACTGTTGACAGATGTCTACCAACGTCTTCATTACACTTTTTATACCATAACTGAACGCCCACCTGGGAATGAAATACATTTCCCAATAGAATATTGGGTATTGCAGGCCCTTATCTTTCATATGGGTACAATTAGAAACAGAAAAGTAAGAGGCAAGAGACCACTGGTCAGCCTCCACAAATTAGTCATTACTGTCAGATTGTTTAAAGGCCATAATGAAAACTGAGATTAGGTCATCCCCAACATTTATTTCTTACCTGTAATGAATGCAAATCAGTGAACGCCTTGTCGGGTATTGCATTGATCTCATTGCTGTGCAGCATCAGTAACTCCAGTTTCTCCAGGCCAGCAAAATCTGTTTCAGTCAGTTTAAGCAAGCTGTTGTAACTGTAATAAACATTTCATCCCAGACCTGGGTTTAGTCAGACAGCTAAACTTCACAAATTTTAAAACAAATGAAACAAAAACAAAAGAACAACACTTTGGATATGTATAAAGGTAGGGAGTACTTCTGATGGTGAGGATTAAATTTTAAATTATACCTTCACATTAGCACAAAATTTGGTAACTTGTCCATTGCGGCTTCCTTAAGATTGTATTCAAAGTGGGTAGGGTAAATAACTGCAAAAATATGCAGACAAAAATGATGGTTTTGGGCTTTAGTGTAAAAGGGTTTTCATGGAATGGTAGAATTTTGCAATACATTGATGCCTCTTTTAAATGAGGGCTTTCCCAACACTGCCGTACCACAGAGAAGACGATGCACAACAGACAGCTTTCTTTGGGGTCAGAGACCCGCATACAACTACGGGGCCTGGGCCGTGCCCTTCCTCTGCCAGCACCTGAGGAGCGATGGCTGAGCCCTGACCAGGGTGCAGGTGGGGTCTGCTGAGGGTCTCGCAGCCCTGCCTTTGTCCTCCTGTCAGGAGAGGTGGCTGGACCGTGCTGTCTGCTCTTCTCTGTTGTACATCTTGAGTTCCATTTCCACTCCACAGGTCTTCAACAGTGCACGCTACCTGTTCATGTAGACACAGCCTCTGCCTCCCCTGATCTCAAGGAGCATACACACAGCCTGGATAATCAAGGCTGAATTTAAACAGGAAGCCAAAAGTGAAACACTGAGAGCTCTTCAAATGAGAGCTCTACCGTCAGAGGAGGTTTGACCATAGGTCACATCTAAACCTAGCCAGTGTGAGTACTCAGAGTGTTGATGCTCCAGTATCCTGGAACCGGTGTTGTGCAAGCCTTCCAAATACAGAGCACCTGCTCGTGGTGCCTTTGACATCATGATTACTGCCATGCTTACACGACCCGATGAGAGGAATCTTCTCATGCTGCAGCCGCACCTCCTACGTCCAATGGTAACAAGTGAGTGAGGTTAATTCCTCAGCCAGACAGAAGGCCTGTCCATGGCAGCAATTAACATGTTTCAAATGTATGTCCCACACCTCAGGTGACCCATAGCCTAGAGGAATTGGTCCTTAGTCTTCACATACAGCACTTTGGGAAAACTTTGACAAACTCAAAGGAGGGAAAAGGCAGACGGGAGTCAGGAGCTGAGATCGCGTTATATTGCCTCGCAGCAGAGGAGGGGGAAGACTTCCAAGTAAAGTTCTTTTGTACTTTTTGCATAAACATACGGACAATTCAAAGGTTATGTGTATCAAAAGTGATACCAGGGTCAGTCAAACATTGCTGATTGGTTTTCGCATTTGATTTTATGACAGGATACCTGCAGGAAACTGCATTAACAGGCCAATTGTACCTGGGTAAAATCTACTCCTGGTTTCTTTCGACCACTTAACATACAGAACCATTTGGGAGGCTGAAATATTCAGACAGCCAATAGTTCCATAAACTGGATGGATAAAAACACAGCAAATAAGATTATGTGACATTCTGAAATCACATCAGAAGTCTCTAAAGATTTTAACACACATACTGCATTTCCAGCCCCATCTGAGCTCTGAGCTATCTTTTTCCAGTAAGAATTAGCTCAATTTCAAGCTCTTTCAGAGTTCCATACTAAAAAATGCAAGATATTCAGGTAATATAAAATAATTCATTTAAGTTCAAAGCTTTTTAATGTTCTTGCATCCCCCAAGATTCCACCCACTGTTGGAAGTCTTCGACTTTGCTAGCTCTCATTGCAACCACTTCTGATTAATGCAAAACATCCACCTAAGATTTATTCCTTGCCTTGATTAATTTTTAGCCCTAAATCTGAAAACTCTCGTAATTACATGCAAAGTGGTGCAAGGTAACTGGTCAGAATATTTGAAATCTTGCCATTAGACGTACCCCAGGTTGATGCGCTCCACGTTTGGAGGGATGCGTGGTGGGACGGCTGTGAAGTAGCGGAAAGTGCAGTGCACCTCGGTGGGGACGTAGCAGGCGCAGAGCCTGGGACAGGCGGTGCTGCTGGGCAGGGCGGCCAGGCAGGCACCGAGGAGGACCTCCAGCCACCAGGGTCTGCGTCTGTGCATTGCTGTCATCCTGCAGCAGGACACTACAACGCCATCCTTCACAGCGACAGGGAGCCAACGGATTCCTACAAGGAAACAAAACACAAGCAGTTATGGATTTACGGTGCCATCTGTGCGGAGTCGCTCGGTTCTAAGCCACGAGCAAAAGTCTGCAGCTTAAAGAAAAAAACACCCCACGGAACAGAGCCGCCGCTTTCGGGGTTCCCCTGCTTTTAGGTCTGCATACTGAAATGAAATATTTGTCGTTTGGAGGAGGCAGCCCCGCGAGCTGCTGCCTGCAGGTACGGCGGGGCCGCGGGGAGCCTGGGGCACTTGGCCGCCGCTGCACCGCGACTCCGGCTGTAAATCTGCTAGCAATTTGTCCTGGGGAAGGAACACGTCAGCTCCTTTCTTGCCAGTAATTATTCCAAACAAAATTAACCAATTTCAAAGCCCCGCGCGTGGAGCCGCCGGGCTGCGGGAGCGACCGGCCCCGCTCCGCTCCGCCCCGCGCCCCGGCACCGCCCGCGGCCCTGCCCGCCCGGGCCGGTACCGGGGCCGGTACCGGGGCCGTACCGGGAGGGGCCAGCCCGGCCCGGCCCGGCCCAGCCCAGCCCAGCCCAGCCCAGGCGGCCGCCTGCCGGGGGGCGCCGCCGCGGGTGCCCGGCCCGGCGCGGCGCGGAGCAGCTCCCGGTGCAGAGCCGGGTCCCGGTACCTCGCCCCCTCGTGCTCTGCTACCTGGGGGTGGCGGCAGCCACACGCCTGGCTGAAGCCGTGGCTCTGTCGCCTTAGGAAAGGTGAAGACGCACTGTTCTCCACTCTGCTCTCGAGCTGCAAGACTTTGCGGTGGCAGTTTAATAAATTATCGTTGCCAGATGATTATATTTGTATGCAGTCAGCCTTAGATAAAAATAAACACAAACCCTCTCATCCAAAGGCAGTTGCTCATCCATCACCTCTTGCACTAAGGCAGCATTTAGGATCTGCGCGGTCACGCAGCTTTCAGATGGTCCTGAAGAAGGCGCGTGGCTTCTTACTGTCCTCCCAGCCTCCTACTCCACAGTGTTACCCACCAGCAACACCCTGCCTGCCAGCAAAATCCACTGATTTTTTTTCCCAGTACCTGAATTTATCCCAGTAAGGGCCAAATCCACTTGGCACTCTTTGCCCCTGATTCTTGTCAGTTATGTAGTTCCTCTGAGATCAATTGGTTGGAGGTGCAGCACATTGCTGGTTATGTCAATACTGCTGCTGTTCTCTATGGTCTGGCCACAAAATGATTTCTGTCTTTGCAGAGCAAACAGCAGCTGGGTTTAGATACCCTGGGTGAGACACACAGATTATCCAACCCCCGCTCAGGATACGTCAGTTCTGTCTGCAGTATACATTTGTTCCTCTGTCTCTGTTCCAAATTAGCAAAGTATCAGCCTTGTCCCAGAAAACAAATCCCTTAGCAATGTCACATAAACCCCATGTTCTTTTGCAGAAATACTCTTGTTTATCTGTCTGAAAAGTTATGCCTGAGAAATTATTGCTATTTGATATAGGTGCTAAACTTGCACCAAAAAACTTTATATAAGGAATAGTTATATTAATATGCAATAAAGTCACTACAGTGCAACTCTCTAGGTAAGTTTGGACAGGCAAACAGCCAGCTGCTGCTTTCTTACAGATAAATATTCAGACCTCTGCATCAGTTTATAAACAAATCTGACTAAACAATTTCTAACAGTGTCTTGCTACAGTTTTACATATATTGGACTGCCAGCTTAATAGATAAGGCAAAGATTGTTTTCAAGGCATATCATGAAATAAGAAAAAAACAATGTAATTCACGTAACATAAATGATGCTGGACTGCACTTTATGTGTGTAAGAAAGTCTGTAAGGAAGGTGACACATGGCTTCCAAATGACCCTTCAAACAAGATCGTCATTTATGACTTGAACTGAGTAAGAATTTTCAACCCAGATGTATTTACTGAGATTTTTCACTTTCCACAGAATTTATATTTTCTTGGAGACATGTTAATTTTACTAAATGTCCCAGTTTTCTGCGAGGAAAGCCAAAACATCTGAAGTCAGTATGAACCTACTTACATCTGCCTTCGTGCCACAGTGCCAAACAGGAGCTGTGGTGTGCGTACAGAAGGGTTTCTCTTTTCTTGTCAGCTTGGTTCTGGGGAAAAACAAAACAAAACAAAACAAAAAAGACAAAAAATAGTTTAGAATGTTTTGGTAAAAAATATATGAAGATCGCTGTTCTTGTAGAATCATGAACATAAATACATTAATTAAGTCCTTCACACATATCAGCAATACTTCTCCGAGAATTACATATTTAAAATAATATTTTCGGTTACTCAGATGGCTTGCCTCTTATTTCCATACTGTGCTATTTTGGTAGAACTTTACTTGAGGTACCTACGGCTGAGGTTCATTATCACTGCAGTGGTTGTCCTTGTGAAACACATGGGTGGTCTTAGTGCGATTCAGCATGGGAACTTTGTAAAGAAACACTAACCTACTTGTACTACCTGGCACCTTCAGTCTCAGGAAAACAACAAAGCCTCAATTGAGCACTGGCGTTAAATTATTTGCCAACATTTTTAGGTGCTACATTAAGAGAAAGGAGAAAAGGGGAGATATCACACTGTCCCTGGTCCTTCCAAATTCTGTTCCTCTGAGAGATAAAAAGAGGCTTGCAGGGGTATCATTAGGCATATTTCTAAACTTTAACTTCAGTCTGAAGGGCAAAGCTGAATTGCTGTAATGAGTTATTTTGTTCTTCTAGATTGCTGAAGTCAAGACTTCTCAAGTGATGCACTCTGATTTTATTTAATTATTTATTTGGGGTTGGGGGGTGGAGGGAGGTAAAAATGATGTAAAAGACATTTTCAAATGATTTGTAGTAGTCTCCATAATCTGTGGTAAAAAAGGGACTGAAGTTTCTTCCGAGAACATTCTTCCAAAACACATGCTAGAAAAACTGCATTAGAATTAAATACATATACACACACATATAAAGTACACAATGTACCTTGTCAAAGCTTTAAGAAAAGCATATTCATCTAGGGATACACTATGTCTATTGTAATTAAAACCCAGTTCTTACTATGCTTCTGAGAAACACAGTATTAAATTACAAAAACTACAAAGTTCTCCCTCCATAAGGTTGCAGAAGAACACGTGGAATATTTTCCATTTTAATGCGGTTGTGATTTAATGGGCCTGACTTATGAAAGAATACAATGGTTCTAAAAACCCATGCTGATCTTTCTGTTTTGCTGGCAAATTCTGGAGTGTCTGATATTAAAAGATATTGCTTTAGATGGAAGTCATTATTCAGAAAAATCAAGGGAGCTTTTTGTTAAATGAAACTATATTTTGGCAAGAAAGGGTGGTTGAGTGTAGACTGAGTAGCTCTAAGAGGAAAGTAGAGTGAAGAAAGTATTTTGGAGATGGATTTTCATAGCAAATTATACATACCAAGAATGGAACCCAATTTCAGTTTGTTTTTTTTTTTTTTTTTTTGCAGTTCATTTCCCAATATACACTTAGATGATATAACACATGCCTAAGGAAGGAGGCAAGGCATTGTATCACTACAACTCTGGTCTGTGTGCTTCTGGAAGCACCGGTAGTTCACTGTGGTCAGATTACATTCATTAACTTTGTGTTGCACCGTTGCTGCCGTCGTGCTTTTAGCCATGACTGGCAGCAGCAGCCCTGTACGTATCAGCCTGGTGTACCTGGGGCAGCCCTGCACGTTAGGGCATCGGCAGCGCTGGCTGGGTGTGCAGCGAGGCACACCTGGCACCAGAGGGGCTCCGGGCAGAGAGGGGGTCCCGTTGGCAGGGTGGTCGGTACAGACCTACAGACATACCTGTGGCACAGCAAGGAAATAAGGCAGCTCTCCTGAACATTAGTTCGGTGTTATTAGTGTAAAATTCATAGTTCCAGATTTCAATTCTGAGATCTTTTTTTCCAGGCAAAAATACCATTCCAACCAAGCAGAAGTCTAGACTCTGGAACTAAACACACCTAGTTCATTATGTATTTCAGCATCACTTACAGCTCTGTATCCTTGAAGAAAGCCAGGCCTATGAAGTCAAATATACACAGGCTTTTCAATCCATCTTGTATTAGAGTTCATAATTTAGTGTTGTTATTTTGGTTTTTGACTTTTTGCTTACCTTTTAATGAGCATTTTCTTTTTCTTCTTCCTCAGGGAATAAGTGCAAATGCGACTCAAACTTTAGAGAATTATGTCACAGAAGTCACAGAAAGCAAATGATATATGAAAGGAATGATTCCTCATGTTTTTTTTTTGTTTTTTTTTTTTTTTTGAAAATGAGAATGCTGTTACTCTTCAGGCAGCAACTCTGCATCTGCAGTGGGCAACCTTGCTAATAAGTCAGAATACAAGAATACTGCTATTCCTGGTGTGGCAGCAGCAGAAAGCAGCAGAGGGGAGCTTTATGCTGCCTATGCACATTAGGAGCTGTTGCCCAAGGTTTCTGTATCTTTTAGGTATATTACTGGTTTCTTTCAAGCTAATTGTGATAAATCACAAGGCTGAGATCTTGAAGGAAATTGTGAACAATCCCTTTATTTATAGTAGTTGAAAGACATTACATTAACAGGGCAGGTCGCGATTTTAAAGAACCCCCTAAGGATGTGTTCTGTGCATCAGCAGCAGCGTAACTTTTTGGTGAAATTCTAGTCTGAATAATGTACCTGGTTTTTGTTTGTTTGATTGTTGTTTACTTTTTAATTTGTTCTTCCATTGCAGATCCCGGCCATTCCCCCCCACCCCCAAAGTTTACTGTTCCCTCGTGAGACTGCTCTGGCTGATTTTGCCGACCCCTACTCCTACTCCAGGTGTCTCAGCTCCTGCCATACAACATTCCCACTCTGCCTCATTCCATTCCTCACAGCATAAGGACATCCTTTCTCTCCACATCACACCAGTTCTCCTTAGAGGCTCTTAGCAAAATGTTTTCATGTTCTGTCTTTTTCTTCACAGCTTCTTGCCGGCCAAATTTTCCTAATACATTCCGTGCCAATTCTCTGTATGGTACCAGATCAAGTGTCTCGTTTTTCAGAACTGGATTGTCTTACTGTTTTCTTAAATAGGAGAGTGATACCAAGCAAAACAAAATATTAACATTTGTGATAAAGGAGAATGTCAGTTGCTTTAGGAATATGCTATTTTAAAATTCATGTTGAAAAAATAAAGCATATAGAAATGTAGAAGATCCAAATCTATCCAAGAATTGAATCCCGTGTGAAGTACTTCACAGGGCACAAAGCTGCCTACCATCTCATTTTTCTTTAATAATCAAGTAGGAGGATAGGAATCTGTTAAAACTGATCAAATGATACATGGCCAGTGCTAGAGGAATCACTCAGCTCCACTATTTGTATCAAAAACTATTTTCCCTTGAAAAAAATAAAGCTTCTACCATAACCTACACGTGGAAAAAAAAGCAGATGTGACAAGGCAGTTGCATCTGCCAAAGTTTTTGAAGCCTGAAACAAACGTACAGTAA